TAAGTAAACAAATGTGGGACATATGCAATGAATTAGAACACAATTTTAATTAGAACACAAAACCTAGAGGTAACAATAGACATATCTGTTTCTGACAATGATATGACAATTAAAGATAAAGAAAATGAACTGAATGTTAGGATGAATATAAACATACCATACTAGTGTACAGAAGGTATGCTAAAGATAAAAATTATAAACCTTTAACATAAACTGGAATAGCATCAAGATGATCCCAAATGTAAAGCAAAAATCAATGAACAAGATCAGGAAAATGTAAAGTTTGAAAAATAAGGCACATAATTGTATATAAAATAATTGTGCACAAAACGGTGATCCAACCTTTTGGCTGCTGAGGGCCGGATGTGCTATTTGAGATACGTCTGCAGGCTGCATAAGCAAAATGTTTGCGTTTCCCTTCCAGAAACATAACATTTAAGGGTTATGGAGGGAGAGTGTGGACCAGATGAAATGGAGGGAAAGTGGGGAGATGATTAAATCGGCCCACGGGCCACTAGTTGGAACACCCTGGATTAGATTAGCACAAACTAATGAATTGCATTAAAGGAGGTCAAGAAAGTAAATCCAAAGGAGCATATAAAGAAATCAGAGAATGTAAATTTAGACCGGATAGCAGAACAACGTATTCACAGATTGGGCTAATCTAATATGCAAGATAATAGAAGTGAAAATATTTGGAATAATCCAAAAATACAATAATTTGTCATAATTGTTGAATGGCTTTTTCTCATCCCAGAGTTCACTTTGTATTTCATGTTCCTGTCCAAACTACAAAAATCTACTTTACTGTAGTTCATACTACAGTATAAGGCAGCTGCCTTATCAATTTAATTAATTTAACCCCTTTTTTTGTAAATTTACCAATCATTTGAGAATAAGACATGCTTATCACCAAGATCAGTAAATTTACTGACGATTAGTTTCATCTCCTAAATTCTGTTTTTTTTAAAAAAAACGCACCTTGCATGTTTACTTTCAGCCTTGAGAATATGTAGTCCCTGGCAATTGAAATGGTATGGAGTAGAGTGCATTTTGGAAAAATTCTCATTCTAGAACGTGACTTTAATTGTATTCAAAAGATGAAAAGCACAAAAATATCAGAATGAAGAGGAATATGTTTCGCAATACATTTCTGCATTTTACCATGAAATTTACTACATACCTCTTTTATTTATTCTGAAAATAATATCACTTATAACTGGAATTATTTTTAGATGCTAGCCTATTGTGAATGAACACTATGGTTTACAATAACTGTATTCAACCTCATATCAACTTAATATAAAATGGACCAAAGGTTATTTATTCAAATGATTTGCCAATATTATTATTCAATGACAGTTGGAGACTCAATCTTGAGAAAAATCCAAAAATGTATTATGAAAATTGGAGCAGGGTAAAATGTTAAAATAATGAAACATTAATGGACGGAAATGAAAAAAAGTTCAATAACTATGTTAAAAAACAATAATTCAACTATAGTGTGGAGCCTTCATTATTAAAAGAACACATTCTAAGAATTATATATCCATGGTTCAAGATTTCACTGAATTTAAATTCTTAAACTGAATTATGGAAACATTTTTTGCTTTATTGCGTATATATTTTTATATAAAATAACTTGTTTAAATACAAGGCTAGTCTCCCTGTTGACAAGAAGGAAACAATATAACATAATTTCAAGTACATACAATGAAAGACTGCCGGAAAACAAAGTATCCATTATTCAATTATATATTTATTTCCAAAAAATATTCAAAACATTATAAAATTCTCAAACATGAAGGTTTTTGCCTGAGATGGAAATTACTGCATAATTGAATAATATAAAAATCTTAAATTAATATTATAATGTAACACTAACATACAAATTTATTTTTTAACAGATAAAATAGTTTTGTTTTTACATATAGGCCTGGGTGATATATTCTGTGGAAAAGCTTTTTCCAATCAATGTCTGAAAGACAAAGTGGACTTATGCAACCTCCCAATTTGAATATTCACATCTACAGCTCTCTCATCCCAATTTATTTTGGCTCTACCCTTCTTCTCCAAATATTTTTCTCTTAAACATCCTAATTTTTCATCCTTAACCCAATTCTGGGTCATTGTTCTATTAAATTTTCTTTGCAAACAGACCATTGCCTGTTTCATGGATTTAACAATATACCGTTAATTGTTTTTTTAAAATCATAATTTTAATCTTCATATCTACTACACAATGGGAAACAATCCACTTTGTAATGTTGCTTGTGGCTTATCAACTTCCTGTCTTATGATCAAAGTTCAAATTAAAATCCTTTAACTCATATTTTCCATGCCTTAGGCTTACGGCATTTTATGCCCTATTTATACGGTAAAAAAATGTGGCATAAAATGAACCATGTATTAGTGAGGGAGCTAAAGCACCATTCTATCATTCTAACCCCCTCTAAAATATCACCAGTAACACCCATGCTTCCTACCAGCACCCAGGTTGCGCATCTGAGTGGTCCCTCTGCTACAGGAGATAAGGTGCCAGCTACCACCGATGGCAGCTCAGAATGCAAGGAGCATCTTGTGACTTCCTTCTCTGAATTGTCAATAACTATCCTATGTAAATGATGCTGCACAGAAAGGTATCCAATTCTGAAATGCTAACACTGGTAGCTGTTTAAGTGTTTACAACAAATAATAATAATAATAATCCTTGCATTTGATATAGGGCTTTTCACATCTTCCAGATGTCTCAAAGTGCTTCACGCAATATACTGTAAAGTGAATTGACTTTATATTTGTGGGCAAAACGCAGCAGCCAATTGCACACAGCAGTGTCCCACAAACAGTTGTGGATTAAAGTGACCAATTTATTATTGTTTTTTTTCTTGAGGAATTATTATCAGGCTTGTGGAGTAAGGAAACTTGCCCAGGGTTACAACATGCTGGGAATTGAACCTAGGTCTCTCACTTGTGAGGCCAGTGCTCTAACCACTGAGCTACAGGGCTCCACATGAATCTTCATCCAATGTTACCGTCATCATGTTGGAGCCCTGTAGCTTAGTGGTTAGAGCACTTACCTCGCAAACGAGAGACCTGGGTTCAATTCCCAGCATGTTGTAACCCTGGGCAAGTTTCCTTACTCCACAAGCCTGATAATAAACCCTCAAAAAAAATAATAATAATCCATAAGACAAATGCTGGACTTGTATGTTTCACTGAAATATCCAGTCATCATGAATTGTAAATTAAGATATCAATTCAATTGGCATTTACTCTTCAAAGCATCATCACATGTTAAACTGCAATTTTGTTTTCCACTTTGCTGCACCCTGCATTTCATATTCCTACTGTGAAAGCAGTTTCTTTCAAATTCCTCAGGGTTGTTTCTTTAACTTGATGACCTGTTTTCATATGAATAATTACCTTTTCTCAATTGTGTATTTTGTCAGAAATATCCAAAGCATGTCTCAGTAGCTGGTATATTCAAAAAGTACCATGCAGTAACTTCATTAGCTACATTTTATACCTTCATAACAGTGTATGAATATGTAGAGAAGCATCTTTAATTTTGTTAGAGAATTTGAATTTCATACATTTATAGGGGATTAATAATATCTACCTGACATTCACAAAATCCAAGAATTGTCTATTAATCCTTAACTTGCTCATAAAGCTTCTATGAAGTTCAAAACAATCTTTTTTTCTACCTGACCTACTTGCTTTACATGGCAAACCACCCAATCTGTTTGGGAATTGAAATAGAAGTTGGACAGTGACACAAAATGTCAGATTGGAATGTATATGCTGGGTAGCTCAAAATTTAAAAGCATGCCATCAACATCTTCAATACAGCTACTGCAAAGTACGCACAATGCAACACACATAAATGGTCCAAAATATGTGTAAACCGGATACAGAATTCTTTTGGATATTGAAACAGACAAATTCGGTGAACAACAACAACAAAATTACATTTGTATGGCGGCTTTCGTGTCAGGAGGATGTCCCAAGGTGCTGAACAAGTACAGAAACCTAGATTTCTAATCAGATAGCTATGATAAATCTGGTCCACATATTTCTGTTTTTAATGCACTTACACTAAATTATTTTATGGAATTAAATTATCTAATCAAAAATGCAGTTCAAAATTAAATAGTGTCCATCATGTACAATATTTTTCCAACCCAAAGTTGAAGTGTTATAGTTTGCTGACTTAAACAATTTTGACTTAGAGAAAAAAAATTTAAATTATGATCTGGGCTGAGGGATATAGTGGAAGCCGGTTAAGCCGGACGCTGGAGGACGGGCATTTTGTCTGACTTAAGAGGTGTCCAAGGTTAGCCAAAATACCACTCCCCCCAGCAGAGCAGCGCCACCGACGCTGTAGAATAATATGTAATAATGTTGTTTCATGAAGCAATGTTAACTAACCAGTTAACATACTCTCACAAAACGAAGCGGCATCTCCACCCTCACATTGGATGGGAAGGGGACCAATTAAGGCGGCGCTGAGGTGATTGACAGCTTGAAGCCGCTTGTGAATAGATAGGTTCCACTCATTCACAAGCTGCTCAGCTGTCAATCAATTGTCATTTCCCTCTCTTGTTCTTCCCCGTTCCTCCGGCCCCTCACTGATTGACAGCCCAACTCCAGCCACTTGTCAATTATTATTTGACTCCACCCATCTACATCCCGGACTTCCTTGTGGTTGAAGGCTCGACACATAGAAGGCCTTAGTGAGTACAGTTTGTCCGGATTAACCAGATTTCCATCTGAATTAACAGGTATATTTACAACAACTAAGAATACAAATGAATCGTGACCGGGCGTTTTCTTCGATTTGCCTGACGTCCGTGGTTAACTGGCGTATGGCAAAAACGTATTCCACTGTATTACGTGTAAAATTAGGTTATGATGAGCATGATTGCTTCTGCTACAATATATAACAGATAAACGTTTTGTTTCATACCCCTGCCAATATTCAATGAAACACAAATTACCTCAGCTATTTTAATAGCTGTCAGCATTCCACTGTTGTGTTTCCAGCTTTGCTTTCGCAGAGCACTCCATGCAGCATACCTCAGCCCCTCTCGATTCTTGTCACCAGTGAGAATCTGACAGACCTTTGCCAGACTGTATGCTGCTCCATAGCAAATAAACCAGCTACTATCATGATCTGTCAGATAAATAATGTAAGAAACACTGTCATAAACCAAGCTGAACATTTTGAATTTGTATTTGTTAGTTTCATAAAGAGACCAGAAAATCAAAAATCGATATAATGATGACTCTCATTTATGCCAGTAATTTATTAACTGGTGGTTTCATAATTGTACTGTAATATTCTCTTATTGAAGACTCTAACCACATTGGATACCTATAGTTGTTTCTGCAACTTGAGGATGGATGGTTTGCAATTAGTATATGTTTTTATCAATGCCTGAAGCTTAATTTAAAAAATGCAGCATATAATTAGGACGAGCAAAAATTAATAATAATACAGATTCTGCAGATCTAAGGGTGAAATTCCACTGGCTATTAGGGTTACAGACTTTGGTCTTGTATACTTGTAATGGAATTTCTATATTGTATACCCTCTGAAATCTGTAATACCACCAAGGAAAATGTTATTCCTGGACTCCTTAGCAACAATCACACAATACATTCCGCTATTAAAATGCAGTCTCGTCACAGAGTTTGCCATATTATAAAATCTCCGGAAATATCTTGAATAATTGCAGGCAGGTTGTGTAACATCAATAGGAATGATATCCGTGTTTCTGCCATAAACTGTAAAGAAAGCTATCAAGCCATCCGAGATATTATCCTACTTGAGGACACTATATAAGTGTAAGTTGTTGTTATTGTATCATATATTAGTAATCATCAAAATGTTACCTCAGTACCATAAAACTTTTTATTATTGGATTTTCACCAACTTCAAGGCATTTTGAAAAGCTTTCCAGAGCATTCCACATCTTTACGACCTCTCTGAAGAGATGTCCCATGTAACGGACACATCTTGTATTTAAATACCTTAATCAAATCACCTTGTGTCCTCCTTTCGTTTTAGGAATACCTGTATAACGTCAGTCAATTTAGCTCTCAGCATAACTAAGCCTCTTCAGCCCAGGTATTAATCTAGTAAACCATACCTGGACACCCTCCAAGATTAATATAATCTTCCTAACATTAAGTGCCCAAACCAGTACTTCAAACGAGATCTGACCAGCACTCTACATTACTGGAGCAGAACCTCCTTACTTATATATTCCAGACCTATTGTACAAAGCCCAGCATCCTATTTGACGTATTTCCTGCTTTCTACACCCAGAAATTAGATCTTATTGATGTCTGGATTTGAGCCCTAATTTCTCTTCCCTTATCTACCACTCCTTGTGCTTGTGTCTTTGTCACCTCTCGGCTGGACTACTCTAACGCCCTCCTCGCCGGTCTCCCATCCACTACCATCCATAAAATCCAAATCATTCAAAACTCTGCCGCCCGCATTCTCACCTGCACGAAACTCCGCTCCCCGATTACCCCAGTCCTTGCCAGACTGCACTGGCTGCCTATCCCAGAGAAGATCGATTTCAAGATCCTCACCCTTGTATTCAAGTCCCTGCACTCCTCTGCACCCCCCCTACCTCTCTGACCTCCTCTCTCCTCAAAACAGTACCGGTTGCCTTCGTTCCTCCGGGTCTGGCCTCCTCCTCATCCCCTGAGTCCTCCGCTCCACCCTTGGCAGCCGTGCCTTCAGCCACTATTTTTTTCGACCGCACCTTTGGTCACCTTCCCCCCCTCCCCCGGCTCGGTTCCAGGATCCGTTACTATAAAGCACTCTGAGACGCCGTCTGGCGTAGAGGGCGCTATATAAATCCAAGTTGTTGTTGTTGTTCCCTATTTAGAATGTATGATTATCCAATGCCTCAATATCCTTTGAAAATAGGAGATACAAAACTGAACACTATTGGATCTAGTATGCAGCAATTTGAAATGCAACTTTTTAATGAGGAAACACACAGGAACTCCACTCCAATGTAATCTTGACTATGTATGCAATCAAGTTCCTACGGGCCTGTGTAACCTTACCTTGTTCCCTTTGTATTTTGTACCGTGCCGTTTTGTAACTGGAGCCATCAAAATGGGAGCAATCAAATGTTGTTCTGGTTACCTTAAGGAATGGAATCCCCATTTATGACTCAGAGTCCCTATTTATGAATCAGAGTCTTGTTTGAAAGCCTTCAGAGTCCCTATTTATGAATCAGAGTCTTGATTGAAAGCCTTGCTCTTCAGACCTCAGTAATCCTAATGTGCTCTTGCCAATGATCTATTTAAGGATGTAATAGCTAATCATGGATTGGCCTATCCTCCACAACTAATTATAGATCCGTGCATTAAAGACGTTGAAGCCCTTGCAGATGATGTTTGCCACGTGGTAATGTGGGATGCTCTTATAGTCACATGAGTATGGTCAATCACCTCTTGTTCTCCATTTATACTGGCTCTCTGATAGAAATGCTGATAGCAATCAATCCATGTCTGCTGGCTTCTTCCAAAAAAAGATTAATCATCAGGCAGCTTTCCTGCAAAATGCTTCTATCAATGGATCTACTGCCTGAAAGCCTCAGCTGCTGCCTGAAATAACCCGGCAGCATAAAAATTCACAGCAATGTGCAATACCATCAACAAGACTGTTATCACTGATGAGCTCATTGCCACATTTCAGGCAATTAAATAACATCTAAGCAGAATGGGTTATAAATGTTACATTAACACAATTCTTCTTTCAAATGCTGATTGACCTTCAGTTGATTTCCAGCTTTTAGTGATATTATTCCAGAGTTTTTGTCTTCGCAGTTTCTTTTTTACTCTCTGGTGGTTCTTGACTTTATATATTTGCTTCCTACAGGTAAACCTGCAATCAACTGTCAACCTGCTGATAAACCTCATCACCCACTGATTCTCCATCATACCACATTTGATTGCTTCCATTTTGATTGCTCCAGTTACAACAAAGCATGGTACAAAATACAAAATTACATTTGTATAGCGCCTTTCACATCGGGAGGACGTCCCAAGGTGCTGTGGTGCACCACAGAACAGTAATGCACTATGTGTGGGAAAACTGTCTGGAAAAATATCAGCCATCTCAATAGGAGCTCTTTCTCTCTAACGCACCACAGATATCCTATCAAAGAGCTAGCAGTTTAAAAGGACCCGAATAAGGCATCTTGGAGGTGCAACAAATTGAAGCTAAGTGCAACACCTGACAATTAATATGGAAATTGCACATTTTATTGCCTTGTGCACCAACATGGATGGGATATTCAAATAAGACTGTTCTTTAAATGGTGTTGAACTTAGTTAGCTGGAAAGACATATGGTCTAATGAATAATGAAATATGAAGCTATCAGAAGATTGTAGGCTTGAGTCCTGTTATGGTCATCTCTCAAGTCAAGAGTTGCCAGGGATATAAGATTAGAGTATCGTCTTCCCCACTTTATCTTATGAGCTGTTTGGATTGCAAACAACTGAGGAAAGATTTCTGCATATTACCTCCACAAGGCACATCATTGATAGAACAAGGACAGAATACATCACATTATAGCTGTAAAACCACAATACAATTTACACAGCACCTTTCATACCAGGAGGACATTCCAAAGTACTTTACACAGCTGACTGGGCACCCAACCTGGAGGGGGTGGGCATTAGGAGGGAGAGCTGAAGAGGGTAGGGGGGAAAAAGATCACTGAAAGCGCAGACAAATTGGCAAGTCTTAATACCTGTTTTAAAGGAGGAGAGTGAGAGGAGTCAGAGGAACTCAGGGACTAATGATAGGCCGGATCTAGTGAGGGAAATGAAGCAAGTCAATGAGCGAACAGAGAGGCTGGGTTGGTTGGGTTTCAGAAGTAGAATGGGACAAGGACATGGAGGGAATTGAATTATGGACAAGAATCCTGTATTTCATCTACTGGGGGGGGGAATGGGGAGCCAGTGAAACTAAGCAAGGATAGAGGTGATAGCTTTACAGAGCATGATGCAGAAGAGGACAAGGGCTACGGAATTATGCATGGTCTGCAGCTTTTGTAAGGAAGAACTGGGAAGTCTGGCAAGTAGGGCATTGGAATAATCAAGCCTGTGTGTGATGAAGGTGTGAAAGAGGATCTCGGAAGCCCGGGGGTAGATGTAATACCCCCGGGGGTAGAACGTGGACAATGTTGAGGAGGTGAAGGAAAGCTGAGCAAATAAGAGATCGATGTAAAGTTTGAAGGACAACTGGGGGTCCATTCAGTAATATGGTTGCTCTCAATAAGGTCTGTCTAGTCCACGACTATGAATTGCCCTGCAGTAAGGTATATACATCTGGTAGTCCAGCCTCAAACAATAAACATGAACCTCATCTGTTCAAGGATAACATAAATCTTCCCTGCCCAAAGGGAAGAAAAGTTATAAAGATGTGAAAAGGTTACAAACCATGGGCTATCTGAAACAGGTTCCCAATGATAGTACTGTAGAAGTAGTAGTAGTTGGAAAATTACTGACATAACAGCTTACATACAATTCCCTGCCAGATATGATGCACACTGAGTGCCATAGCTCAACATCACATATAATTGTTGTGGATAGATCATTTGTGTTTAGATACAAATAATTACATACATAGAATCTATACTAGTCTATGTCGGTGTTTATACTCACGTGAGCTTCCACCCATCCTCGCCTTCTCAGTCTCCCCAATATTCCTATTCCCTTCTAGACTAATATGTCATATATACAAGATTTTTTTAATGTAACTGTACAAGAAACAAAACTATATTTTACTTTTTAAGACTTTCTTCAATGCAGGCAAAGATAATCCTTGTGTGTGCGGTTAGAAATTAAACAATGTGCTACGGCATCCAGATCACATTACGTGACCTTACATTTTCCATGGGTGGTTGCTATTTTATACAGTGATTATAATTTATACTGCTGAAAAATTACCCACCAGAATTTATGGAGTCAGGGGACACAGTATCCTCCCTCTCTTTCTCCTCCGTTGACATGTTACAAACTTGGTTCTTTTTATTGAGAGGCAATCTTTGCTGGCCACAGCATCCTTCAATTTTTAAACCTGCAGAAATAGATGGTGTTGGTTCTTTAAATAAACCTGCTCTTGATCTCATATTTTACTGTAGGTAGTGACAGCAACAACAAGTTTCATATGGTGACAGAGTAATACCACTGCTTTTTTGTACTGTAATTGTTGAAAAGGTCGTAGACCTTAAATATACAACAGATTTTAGAAATACAACAACAAGCTGCATTTATATAGCGTCCTTCATCTCGGGTCACTGAAATACTTCAAATACCATCCCTGGAAACTATATATCTGTTAGCTTGATCTCCACAATTGTAAAAAATATGGAGGCAATCATCAGAAAGCAAGTGAAAGATTATCTATATTTAAAAATAATCTAATAAATAATAGCCAACCTCAAAGGAGTTGACAGCCCAAATCATCTGAGGAAAGCCATATTATGTAGTATATCTAGAGTTCCAAAAGACTATATAAAAATAATCTAATAAACAACAGGGAACATGGGTTCAGAAAGGCTAGGTCTTGTCTAATCAACCTCAAAGACTTATTTGAGGAGTTGATAGTCCAAATTGTCTGATGGAAGCCATATGATGTAGTATATCCAGACTTCCAAAAAGCATTCGACAAAGTACTACATGAAAGTCTCACAAGAGACTTGGTTTGAAGGTTTGGATGAAGAGGGACCCTTCCGGCCATCTGATCTCATGTTTCCTGAACACCCACCCTATCCCCATCATAGAATCAAACTGCTCTTTAAATGAAAGCCTTCACAAACTGTGGTAACTGGTTATCAAGGACAAGTCATGGACCTGAATTAATAATTAGCTGCAGGACAAGAAGCAGAGGATATTTGTTGGGTCCATGGATGGGATGAAACTTGCCAAAGGGAATCTGAAAGAGATCTAAGGATGTTAGTTGACTCGTCGTTCAGTCTATCAAGAGTGAGGCAGCAATAAACAAGGCAAACAGGATGTTGGGTTATATTGCTAAATCATTTGAGTTTAGATTCCCAGACATCATACTCACGCTGGACAGAGCTCTGGTCAGACCATACCTAGAGTACTGAATACAGTTCATAGCAACATAGGGTTGGTCATCAACTACAACAATCCCAGGTCATCAAGGCATTGCAGAAGAGAGCAAGGGTGGGTATCCTGGAGGGATGGGATCAGGTGGGCCAAAGGGCCTTCTCTTCATCCTGTGATGTAGGTATTATTCCATAATTAGGTAAGCAAATTTAGATTAAAATTTCAGTCAATAAACTAGGCAGCAAACATAAACAGGCTCCATTTGGCTCATTTGATCGCACTCCTGCCATAGGGTCAGTAAATTCTGAGTTAAACATCACACCAACTTTTTTTCAAAGTATTCTTCTTCCCACTCACCCAGGGGCTCTCATCCCACCCCCAGCTACAGACAAGACTAAATATAATCATCAATATGTATTTTAACTTTCCCGAGCACTCTTCAAATATACCTTCCATACCCCTAGGATACTGGCCTTCAGCTGTTCCTGTGATTATATGTGTTATAGGGAGAAGATCTGCACATAGCAAAATGGATCATAGTGGCCTGCAAGCTGACTGTTGCTGACTAACCCAGGGCAAACACAGGAAGGGGGCAAGGGCTTCAAATCCTCCCCCATGTCAAAGAAGTCATGCTGGGATGTACACATTTCCTTCCAATAACATGTAAGCAGAGCAGCAGAGGACGTGCAATTCAGAGAATTGCAAAATGGGAGGATTCCTTGCTGCAAGTAAACTAATATATATTCATTGTTATCATGTTCATTTTTATAGCTCGGGGGAATACTTTGAACAGAGGCTTCCTTTAGATTGTCTTGCTCTTTCAACCGTTTTAGATAGAAGTTTATTCCACATACCCACTATTCTGGGGATGGGGCGGGGGGAACATTTGTTCTATCTCATTTTGCTTGAGGCTTATTCATTTTATACTTGAGTTTTCTAGTTCTGAGTACACAGTCCAAGTTAAATAAATTGCTTCCATCTATTCTACTTATTCCTCTCAGCGTGTTGAGAAACAATACTTGCTGACACGAGGGAAATCAGTTCTCTTTGCTAACATTTGTCATTCTAGTTCTTATACACAATGTAAATGGCACTCTGGTACTCACCAGGATCGGGTGCTGTTGATGGACAGTACTCCAAAAGTTCAAGTAATCCTCCTGTATGGAGGAGTTGCTTTGGTCTGTTTGATGGATTTCCCAAACCAATTAGAGCAGACTTTTGTATTTCTGTATTGATGCCATAGAGACAAATATCACCTAGCATACAGCTATAGATATGGCCCAGCTGCCAGGGCCAAACATGTGGATCTTCTCTCTCCACAGAGTCCTGTCATTAAAATACAACTACCAGTTACACATTTATTTCAGATTGTTAACCCTCCAAAGTAATTGTGACAAGAATTTTTAGATGTATGAGATAAGCCTTTATGTGCTTTACAATACAATGTTGGAACAAGGTGGGCTGACTGCAGAAAAAAACTATTTTTTATTTCTGAATTTTGATTAGTTCAGAGCTAAATGGATAGAGTTCATGAGGGAAGCGGAGCTGTGCTGTCAGACCTCCTCTAGATTGTTAATACAGATTTCCAGGCATATTCAACAAATATAAGCTTGGGGCAAATAGGAGCTTTGGGAGGAGCTATGCACCTTCTATTAACAGTTGTGACATGCACACCAAAAACAGTATGGTGAAGTGCAAGTATATGATGACAAAACAGTCATATTTATCAGATGGAACAGAAGTTGTTGTTTTTGTGTCTCGTAATAAATGACTAGTTGAGGCTGAACACCCTCTGACTTCTGGAAAATGGTCTCTCCCACCAGATCTTTTTTTGAAAAATATTTTTGTTTTTTTACTTGTGGGGTATAACACACCTTTCAATTTTAATGTTCTAGTTATAAAATGAGGTCCATCTCAAGTCCTGCCTCTTTTGAACATCATTTGCCTCCCTCCCCCCAACTCTCAGGTGCGAAGCCAGTATTGTCATAGCTCCCACCCCCAACTCAGGTACAAAGTCAGTATTGTTAAGCACCTTGAGCCATCCTCCTGATGTGAAGCACACCAGTACAATTTCTCAACAAGTTTATGTGATTCCAGCAACTACTAAAGTCAAATATATGAAAAGTTTTTTGCAGTTAAATTGCTTTCAGCCTTACTCAGAACTAACATTGTGTGCTTTACAATATAATGTTGGAATAACAGAGGATTATACTGTATCTTGGAGATCTGAATCTAAATCTCAGTCTCATGTTTTGTTTGCATCCAAGCTTCCTATTAACAATCAGAGTGTGGATGCAGGTAGAAATAATGGAAATGAAAGGATAAACGGTTGTATAGGGAGAATATATCAAATGCAAGGATTATTATTGTTATTATTGTTTAATCACCTCCTAGTGGGTTTCAATGTGTTTTGTGCTAATAATACACAATAGGCAAGTAATTCATATGTAATTTATGAGAATCATGTAGAATGGAATTGCACATTTCAAATGGAAGCAAAACATATTGCGGACTGCCCAATGACATAATTATGAATTTTGGAAAAAGGAAAAAAACAGTAGAAAAAACTCCTTCTAATAATTTTCAGCACACTGCTTTGCAGGAATATCTTTACCTCCAATAGGATGGGTGGTTGTATCTCGATCATATTGCTTGCTAGATCTGTTAAAACCTTGAAACAAGCCATGTTCATTTTAGCAGCTTCACTTAGAAGCAGCAAGGCCAGCAAAGAATCAATCCTAAAGATAAGAAAAATGAAATTTCCAAGACATTATTATTTGTCTCTCTATTTCCATTATTTATTTTACATTCTTATACAGTAAACTCCTGATAACTCTTCACTCCAAGGAAAAAGAGGTCAGTGATGAGTTATCCGGAGTGGTGAGTTTAGGTCCTGATGGGCTACAAGAGAGCTCTATGATTGGTGTGGGTGCTCAGCGGAGGTTGGGTGTACATGCTCAGATCCATCATGGAGGCCTCTGGTCTATTGGAGGCTGCGGGATGGGTGGGGGTAAGAGAACTGCAATGCAAGACACCATCTTACAGGATACGTTAACCGATTAATTTCACAATATAAGTACAGTACTCATAAGAATTTCTAGAATACAACCAGTTACAATGTTAAATGGAGTGACAAGTGAAGCGGAGTCCCTTATTAACATCTCAACAACAACAAAATTACATTTGTAAAACGCCTTTCACATCAGTTAGGACGTTTCACATGGGAAGAGGCTGGGTTATTGACAGTGATAATGACAATTTAAGCCAGGGTCAAGTTATCAGGAGTTTCCAGTATTTACATTGTTGTGTTTACATTCCTACAAATTGTGAATATTTTTCTTGCCTTTATTATTAACCTGGTTATTGTTAATAATCAATCTAAGTGCTCTGAGATGCTGCCCTACGTGGAGGGCGCTATATAAGTGCAAGTTGTTGTTGTTATTTGCCTGGAACACCCGATAGAGGAAGGAGGCCGACTAAAGCAACAGAGTGTCAGCTTGACACTTGGAGGTGGATGCCGACCCACCAATGATCTTGGCCAAGTTTGGTGGACATGTTCAGGACTGAGCAGAAACAAACCCCTGAGGGAAGCCTCCAGCCATGTGACAGTTCGTGACCTTAAAGAATACTTCTCCAGGAACTGTCCCATCTAGGTGATGCTATTGGAAGTTGTAGAGTGGGATGGTTTAGAATAGGAGCTACACATCTTCCTTTAATGGTTCAAACATGAGTAAAGTGAAGACTAGGTAAGGGACTGGTATCCCTTTACTGTGATTGCCTCTATATATGGTGTGACATATAGGGTCAGCAATGTAATATTTTTGAAAATATTCAATTATCATGACACCATCATTCATGTAGCTGTGTTTCTGGAGTCAATATTTCAGCTTGTGACTAATATGGCATCTGAATAATTTTTTTGAAAATCTTGTATCGTTCAAAGCTGCAACACACTCAAGAGAGAAAAAAAATGACATTATGGGAACATCATGGAGATAAAAGTGATGTATGGATGAAGCATTAAATACCATCTTCTGAGTAGCCGAGACATATAGCATCAAACCAGTCAATTTTAGGAATTAAGGTAATAATGCAAAAAAAATCCAGCTATAAAAGAAACATCAATCAAACTCTGAGGAAAACATCAATCAAACTCTGAGGGTTATGAAACGGATATGACCCCCCAGCTGTCAAACATGGACTTCATTTGATAAATTAAAATCTGTGAACAGAATATTTTTAAAGTATGGGATAATAATAATCCTTGCATTTGATATAGCACTTTTCACGTCTTCTAGACGTCTCTCAAAGCGCTTCACATAATATAGTGTAAAGTGAATTGACTATATTTGTGGGTGAAACTTGGCAGCCAATTGTGCACAGCAGTGTCCCACAAACAGTTGTGGATTGAAATGACCAATTTTTATTAGTTTTTTTTCTTGAGGGATTATTATCAGTCGTGTGGAGTAAGGAAACTTGCCCAAGGTTTCGCCCTGCTGGGAATCAAACCCAGGTCTCTCAGTTGCGAGGTGAGTGCTCTAACCACTGAGCTACAAGACACTAGGATTCTGTTAAGATGTTCAGGTGAGAAGGGAGTTTTTCTTGGTGTTCCTAGTCAACAATCCAGCAGATAAAATCAGTCATTTACTATCAACACTATCTTGTACAAATTTGCTGTCGCATTCACCTCCAAACAGTTCTACACTCCACTTAGTTCTAAAACTCTGCAAAGGGCTTTGAGTTATTTTGACATGGTAGCAATGCAAGGATTATTATAACTCAAGTTAAAAAAAATGAGCTTCAAGGTAATCGAATCATTGAAAAGCATTTGGTTTGTATTTTCAGCAACTACAGGTACAGCATGAGATTTCCCCTCATTGCAGGTTTCATGGTACACAGAACAGATTTGAAACCATTTCAAATTTCCCTTTCACTTTCCCTATTCTGCTCTTACCTATTCTAACATCTTAATTTTGTCTATTCTAACGGCTTCTCTTCCATCTTTCCAACATTGCTAACTTTTTTTCTATGCCCCAACACAGCCTAAATGCTCGTCGACTCCCCTTTGTCACCTCCAGACTTGATCTCTGCCCCCACACTCTGAAACTGCATCCCACGGTCCCTTCGCCTCGCTTCCTCCCTCACATCCTTCGAGGCCGGTCTCCAGACCCTTCTCTTCGACCGTGTCTTTGGTCTCCCTCCCACCTCTCTGCCTTCCCTCACCCCTACACCACCCCTCCCCCATGCTCGGGCCCTGACATCTGACTGTTCAGCGCTTTGGGACGCCCTCCCGACCCGAAAGGCGCTCTATAAATGTAAATTTGTTGTTGTTCTCCAATGCCCTATTGCCAGATTTCCTAGTTCATCTGATACACCTCGGGAGGAGCTCCCAAAGTGCTTCAGAACATTGACTGTAAATGAATTATTCCAGAACTCCGCAGCCCACATGCTTTCCTGAACCAGGCACAGGATCACCTCAATCCTCACCGGGTTGCACTGGCTTCCTGGAAACAGAGCTCACTTACATTACCAGCTCTTCGATCATTTGGATGTCAAAGTATTAATAAAAACACATTTATTATTATAGTCTTATTTTAATTGTAGGCACCAGGAACAGAAAGGCATGAGTTTTATTTCTACAGGTTTAATGATTCCAGTTGTCACTTTTGAGTAAGCCTTTGGTAATGTTTTTAATGTCTTTCACCAAAATAAATCAGTTAGAAATGAAAAGAAATTTGGCAGCAAATCACTACAACAATATATTTGTGTAAGCTTTAAGTCACTGAAAAAACAAATGGGAAATTACTCCCAATACCTTCAGAATAAATTCTGAAAATGAAGGAGTGTGGAAATCCCAGAAATTTATTTCATACTTTGTATACCCACAGATATTTCCAACACATACCAGAATTGAAGTTTTAAGATGCTTCACAAGTTTTATTGCAAATAAATGATATTGTAGGCGAATACATCAGTCAATTTGCACACAGCAATGTCTTACAAACAGCCATGAAATGAGTGACCAATTTTATTGCGGGATCATCAGCCAGGACAATAGGACAAATTCTCAGTTGCTTCTTTTTTTAACCTTTTAAGATACATTATTGGAAATGGGATAACAGTTTATCTTCTGTTTTTTTTTATCCTGCATATTATTTTGAGTATTCTGCTCAATGCACCCTTTTAATAAGACGTGGTTTTAACAATCAGGTCTCACTTATTATTATAATGTCCATCTGTGCATCTGAAACTGAGCCTAATTGTAGGCTGACAATATTTGTTAAATTTGGACAGATGCTCAATTATCAATACAGTGGAGTCCCATTATAACAATAAGTCAAAGATAATTGTTGACAAGTATAGTGACTACTTTTGTATCCAAACTCAGTTGACTTTTATTCTTTTAATAATATAATAGAATCACTGTGACATCTCAGACTGACTCGCAGTTTGCCTGGTGGGAAGGAAAATTAAGAGGAAAAGTTGGAATTTTTCCGGCTAACTACTTATCTCTTTCCAAATACTGAGTCACTGTTCAAAAGAGAGACGATTATCAGCACCTATTGCAGTTAAGCAAACAGTGCAAATAATGGGTCAAAACTCAAACTACAACACCCAAACAGCTAAAAACAAAATCCATTAAGAATTATGCTGTCACTGTGGTGCTACACCATGCCAAAGTTTCCCTCTCTCTGCCACTTTCTCTATTTCTTTCTTTCTCTCTCTATTGTGGAATCCTGTAGCTCACTGGTTAGAGCACTCTCCTCGCAAGGGAGACCGAGGTTCGAATCCCGGGTGAGGTGAACCTTTAGGCAAATTTCCTTACTCCACACACCTCTGTTTACCCAGCAGCAAGTAGAATCTGGTTGTTAGTTGATTGGTGTTGTTTTTACGGGATAATAATCCCTTCAAAAAAAATGTGTCACTCAATCCACGACTGTTTGTGGGACACTGCTGTGCGCAATTGGCTGCCGCGTTTCGCCCACAAAATATACAGTTAATTAACTTTACAGTATATTCTGTGAAGCGCTTTGAGATGTTTCGGAGACGTGGTAAGGCGCTATATCAAATACAAGGATTATTTTTTTTAACACAGAACAGGCTGGCACAGAATGATCAATTCAGCCAGCTGCTCACATGAGCGGTCAAACCTGCTATCACACCTCACGATAACATTTAAGGGATCTTAAATACTTTCAGATCATTGGGTCATCCCTAACATGACTTCCTGTTTCCTGTCCATGCGCAAAGCTTTCGCCTCACCCTACCTCAGTAACCTCCTCAAACTGTACCGATTTAGCTGCTTGCTTCACTCAATGGGCACTAGTTTGATTCAAGTCCCTGCACTACCATCGTGTTCAGGCTTTCAGCCTATCTGCCCCACTCTCCGGAACTCCATCCCAGAGTCCCTCCAACTCCCTCCCTCCCTCACCTCATGCAAGCTCCGTCTCAAAACCTACCTCTTTGACCATTATTTTGGTCATCTTTCCCCTCCCACACCTCTTGGCTCCCACCCCAAACTCAAGTGCCAAGCCAGGACTGTTAAGTGCCTTGGGACATTCTCTCAAAGTGAAAGGCACTATAGAAATGTCAATTTCTTTTGTATTTTACAGAAGAGATGTTAAAGTGAAATTCTAATTGCCTGCTCAGGTGGATTTCAAAAATTTCATGACACTGTTTGAAAAAGAGTGTCGTAATCCTCCAGATTAATTAGTCATTTGCCTGTTTGTGAGATATTGTTAAATGATAACAACAAGTTGCATTTACATAGCATCCTTCAAGTGGGGTAGTGCCTCAGAGTGCTCGATGATTACTGTTTGGATACAAAAGCAGTCACTACACTTGTCAATCAATATCTTTGTAACAATTGGAGATGTTTTGATACAATTAGAAGCTATAAAATAGAATGCATTTCTATTCTACGAAACACTAACGTTTTATGCGGCTGTTCTTTTTATGGGGTAACAATCAATATTCATACAGGTTGCCTGTCTCCCAGATTATTATTTTATATGTGATCCATCATTTAAATACATACACAACCACTTTTATCAAACTGTTTTTATGCAAAGACCATTTTGTGCGTTAATGAAACATTTAATGTGCTTGATATTGTAGCTGTTTAATATGATTGCTGCTGTGATTGCATTTCTAAATGAATGACACATTCAATTTCCACCTCAAAGTAAAAAAAAGTCAGCAATCATTTACTTTCCTGCACACACTGACTTTGGATAATTAACAGTTTCTTTAAGGATACTTAATTTTAACCAATCTTGGTATATTAGCAATATTTGAATAATTAGGCTGAATTGCTGACCAAGATGCATAATCTTCAAGTAATGGTTTTTGATGAATTTATGAATATAAACAAAACCCAAAGAAAATCATCAGAGAGTTCACAGATTTCCTAGAACAGAATTAATATTCCTAGAAGAGAATTAATATTGTTGAATTACATGGTGCTCCATTAATTCACTGCAGCCACAATAAATACAAATTCAATCTTAATAACAACACTAGTTTAATGATGTATGACTGCATTGTTAGGATAGCAACAAACCACACTACACTTTAACACAAGTTCACTTTGTCATCCTTTTGATTTGAAAGCGTAAGAACAGTGGCTCAACTAAATTTTTGTAATATGAGTTAAAATTATGAAGTGATAATTATCATCTCAATGCTATATGAAGTCGAGCCATAGATATTAAAGACTGCTAATGGTTGTTCCCCTTTCCCCAATATGGTCACAACACAAACAATTTGCATTTATATAGTGCCCTTCATGCAGGTGGCATCTCAGATCTCAAATGTGGCTCAACTGGTTGGTCTTGAAGTTGAGCCACATTTGAGCCTGAAGTTGTCTGCAGTAGTCATTGCATGTTCTGTCTGTGTATCACAGCTCAACTGGCATTTTCTTTTTATTCACTTAAGGTGGTGCTATCTTTGGAATAATTTCTATCATTATAGCACCTGTGCTTAAAACTGATCCAATTCAACAGTAAAGTTCAGTTCTTGGTATCACTGAAAAATATTTAGCATCTATGCATTAATACATTTTTGTACACAGATAAATGCGTTGGGATCACAGTTTTTCAGCAAGGATTCTGCAACCATTTCCTGTAATGATCAAAATTTAAAACATAATTAATATTGATTTTTTAAAAAATATATACACTTAGGTGGATAACGGAGATTCTAGATAACAGTCCCTTTAATCTAAAATATTTTAATGCGCTGCCAATAATCCACACAGCAGTTAAGTCACAGCTGCCTCTTTTCTGGCAAGCCAAAAATGGAATACATGGAAGCAAATATAGGACAGACAATAATTAATAAATATACAAGTCCCATCAGATGTGCATCACAAAATGTTATGCAAACATGGTTTTTCTTTAAAATGCAGATTCTTTCTTGTTTGCCAAATAGAGATAGAATAATTAAAACAATGTCCACCAGCAGATTCACTTTTCTTTCTCAATGCATCATACCAAATTGGTTTATTTTTATTGTTATAACTTGGAAGCAAAAGCAAAGCTTCAAAGCTAGCTCAGCATTGAATAAAATTAGAGATGAATCGTACCAATTTGCCTCACACAGTTGGTCCCTGAGGAGGAGGAGATGTTGTAGAACATTATCCAACTGCCGGATGTTATGCTGCACACAAAACCAAATCAGAAGGCAATCACAAAGGACCGGATTAATCCCAGACTCTTTCTGCTGAAACTCGTTGACTCGATCTGTGTTGAACTGCATATAGGACAAGAAATTAAAGTCTGAAAACCTATATCATTGCTGAGTTACCAAACAAATCAGAAAAATAAATACTGTCCTTATGGTAAAATATTCAATATTAAACACTGATGTTTGCTCTTTATGTACTTTAAGCAATTTAGGATCAACGAGTGATAAACGACAACGTTTTAATTTAACAAGTCTTTGATAATAGAAAAAGGTAAAGAAATTGTATTTTTACAAAGCAAAAATAAACAGTTAATGGTTAATTGGACTTCTAAATAGCTTTGGAGAAAATACCAACCATCACTTGAAAGGAGGTCTCACTACAAAAATCTTTCGTAAGATCTGGGAGGAGTGACTCCCTCTGAGTTGACTATTTACAAGCAGGTTTGACCAGTAGGTTAATGAGGGCAGCAGGGGATGGACCACTTTAGTTACGGATTGATCACAAAGTATCACATTTGACTAACTCCACCCAGCTAACTTGCTTTCACTGTTAGATGTGATAACATTCTGCACATTTCATCAAAATATTTTGATGCTCTGAGATTTTGGCAAATTTCCAGTGTCCTGCCATTTCAAAAGTGTAGTGGGCATCTTGTGGCTTCTGTGATTATTGATGCAGTTGAAATTCCAATGGCAAATGATCTGAAATGTTGGTGTGGTGACCCTGTGGAAGAATCCTGCTTAATCACACAAGATTGTAAGTGAGATTCGGGTGAAGACCCTGTAGCCCATTTCACCTCATCCTTCCAGAATACCTACTCTATTGTCTCCCATCAACCACAACAACAAGAAATTACATTTATAAAGTGCTTTTCTTGTCGGGATAATATCCCAAATCTGTTTTTCAAATGAGTCCAATGTCCTGGACTTAACCACAAGTTCTGATAACCTGTTCCAGTTGTTAAATATCATCTAGTTTTTCCCACAAATACACAGTCAATTCACTTTACAGTATATTCTGTGAAGCGCTTTGAGACGTCTAGAAGACGTGAAAAGCACCTCATCAAATACAAGGATTATTATTAAAGAAATACTTTTCGTGTTGATCCTGAAATTTCACTTTGCACTCCTAAACCTGTTGTCCTTTTATTCTGTAGTCTCAGTGCATCTGAAAGAATTGTTCTGGGTTTACTTTCTCAAGGTGATTTGTCTCCAAATCTAGGAAGGGGATTATTGCCAAAGAAAGCAAATTAAAGGTACAGACATCCCACATAAATCGGAAAATGACTGGTCAGAAAACAAAAGTTGCAAACATGATTTTGAAATGACAATGTGGACACACTGATGCAGATTCTGAGAAATTCTGATTCCAGTGTCATTTAAATAGCACATTTAAATATGGCATAATTTACGTTATTATATTTTATGTTCCATTACTTATCGTTAGTAGTAAATTAATAATTGTAAAGGCAGAAAATCAGACTCATTGGTTGGGCAAAAGCAGTGTAATTACTCAGCAACTGTCCGAATAATTTTAACAAGCACTAACAAATTGATCCTGCTGGTTAAGATTGCAGACTTTTCCAAAATGTTCTTTAGGTTCTGCTTCACATGCCTTAAATGTTTTTTATACAACGGAAAAGTATTACCAGGGAAGATTGGTGCAGTGATAGCATTCAGCATGGATACTCCAGAGGATTATATTTTTGCTGGTGATTAATGTTTCATTCAGCAAAATGTGCTGCAGCTAGCAAAATATGACACTGATCTGTTCGCAAAAGTCAAAGTAATAAGGAGTGTGGCTGTCACAGAAGAGCAATCTTACTGTTTGACAGACAGAAGCAGGACAAGCAAATTGTTAAATTGCTTTCTGATGATGAAGAGATTGCATTGTGGCCTTGGTCCACAACTACACTGATGCTATCTCTAACAGGACATTTTGAAGGCCATTAATGGTAAGTGTTCGATGAATATTCCTGCAACAATTCCCATTCCAGAACATTGGATCTTTCTCCACATCTTTACTGTCCTCTCTCTCTTTCCTTCACAGCCACCAAAAGAAATAAGCCTTTAAGTCCAACAAGAGTGATCATCTTTTCAAACTTGATGTTTTGCTTGAGTTGTAAGATTTTCAACTACTCCAAATTTCCCCCACAATTTGTAAAATAAAGGAGGCTTAAGAGGACAAGCCTTTCTAGCCTATGCTGCCCTGCCTGCTACTCTGTGCTTCTGGAAAGCCCAATCTGTATCATGTTTACAAATTATTTCCGGATCTCCGAAATCCAACTTATAAATGAACATAAAATACATCGAATTCAAGAAAAGGCAATTCAGAGATAAAATGGTCCATCCAAACCTTTCTTGTGATCTCGTGTAATTGGAATAGCAAATGTAACCTTTTTTTAAAAAAATATGTATTTTTACTCTGCTAGGCCTAGACTACTATGCCAACTCTCTGCTCGCCAAACTTCCCAACTCTTCCCTCCACAAGTCCAGAACATCCAGAAATCTGTTGCTCATGACCTCTCTCAGACTAAGCTCCGTGAGCCAATTACCCCCCATCTTTGTCTGGCTCCCCATCCCCCAGAGGACTGAGTATAAGAGCCTCATCCTCACTTTTAAATGCTCTCCCCAGTAGCCACTCCCAATCTCTGGAACCCCATCCCAGATCTTCCTCTTTCACCACGCCTTCTGTCATCTTTCTCCCACCCTTTCAAAATCCATCCCCCAACTCAGGTGCAAACACTCTACTGTTCAGTGCCTTGGGACATCCCCTTGATGTGAATGAGTCCCAAATGGCACAATATGTTGTACCTGTACATTTGCTGATGTTTCTCTCAGGTATTGTATCCCTGATTATTACCATAGTTAACACAAATTACTGAGTATAAGAAGCTTTCCAGTAGATCAGTTTGGGGTTGGAGTTGAATAGCTAGTGGAAAAGATGGACTTGTTGGTGATTTTTGTTATAAGCTTTTTTTAAAATCTATGTAAAAGAAAAAGTAGTACATTTTGTTGCAGGAATTCTTAGGGCAACAAAATAAAGTCAACTGCCAATAGATATCTGCCAATAGAAATGCAAATAGATAAGAAATGCAAATAGATATCTTACTCCACACACCTCTGTTTACCTATAAGTAAATAAGATCCCGGTTGTTAGTCAATTGGTGGATCACTTTTCCGGGGTTAATAATCCATTCAAAATTTAACAAATTATAATAATAATTTGATCACTCAATGGAAGACTGTTTGTGGGACACTCTGCGCAATTGGCTGCCACATTTCGCCCACAAAATACACAGTCAATTCACTTCACAGTATATTCTGTGAAGCGTTTTGAGACGTCTCAAAGACGTAATAAGGGGCTATATCAAATTCAAGGATTATTATTATTATTATCTCATTTGTAGGTTGTGCTAACCGTGCATAATTTGGTTTGCACCAGGTTGACAACAACAACTTGCATTTATATAGCGCCCTTTACATGAGATTGCATCCTGGAGTGCTTGACAGAGGTGGATGTCCACAACATCCATCAAAAGGTTTCTCCTCTAGCTCGTCTTGTGCAGCGTTCCTCTGAGCTCTGTCCTTGGTCCCCTCCTCTTCAATATCTATATGCTCCCTCTTGGTGACATCATCCGCAGACATGGGATCAACTTCCACATGTATGCGGATGACAGCCAACTCTGTCTCTCTGCCTCCACCCTTGACTCCAGGACCACTGCAGTCCTGACAGAATGTCTGTCAGACATCAAGTCCTGGATTAGAACTAATTTTCTTCAGTTGAATGTCAACAAGACCGAGGCTCCCCTGACTGGCTTCCATCAGCGCCTCCACAACTCAGGCGCTGACAGTTAAAAGCCTCATAAAAGATGGAAATAGAAAAATAACATAGCTCTGAACCCCACCAGTTAATGAGGAACAACTAAGTATTTTGGAGTCCTGTAGCTCAGTGGTTAGAGCACTCGCCTTGCAAGCGAGTCACCTGGGTTCAATTCCGGCAGGTCGAAACCTTGGGCAAGTTTCCTTACTCCAACGTGCCTAATAATAGTAATAATCTCTCCAAAACAAAACAACAATAAATTGGTCATTTTCAGTCCATTACTGTTTGTGGGACACTGCTGTGCGCAATTGGCTGCCACGTTTCGCCCACAAATATACAGTCGATTCACTTCACAGCATATTCTTTGAGACATCTAGAAGACGTGAAAAGCCCAATATCAAATGCAAGGATTATTATTATGACCCGCTCTGCCTTCCCCCATCTCCACAACATTGCCCGGCTCCGTCATTGTCTCACAGCGCAGCGCAGGCCGCCAAAACCCTCATACACGCACACTTTCATTACATCCAGGCTTGACTATGCAAACTCCTTGCTTGTTGGTCTCCCCAACTCCTCCCTCCATAGGCTACAGCTCATCCAGAACTCCGCAGCCCATGTCCTCTCCCGCACCAGGCTCCGTGACCCTATCACCTCGATCTTCGCCCGACTCCACTGGCTTCCCATCACACAGAGGATACAATTCAAGATCCTAGTCCTCATCTTCAAATCCCTCCAAGGTCTTGCTACCCCCTACCTCTGTGACCTCCTAAACCCCCTACCATCCTGCTCACTCCCTCCGCTCAGCGGGCCCTGGCCTGCTTTACGTCCCGTCTCGCTCGCCCCACTATTGGCGGGCGGACCTTCTACCACTCTGCCCCCACCCTCTGGAACTCCAATCCACAGTCCCTCTGCCTCGCCCCCCCATCCCTTGCTTCCTTCAAGACCCATCTCAAGACCCTTCTCTTTGACCGTGCTTTCAATCTCCCTGCTTCTCCCTCTGCCCTCCCCAATCCCCAATCCCGACCCCTAGCTCGGTTCCGAAAAGTAATCATTGTCTGTCCAACCCCTTGGGACTCCTCCCAACGTGAAAGGCGCTACACAAATGTAATTTTGTTTTTGTTGTTGTGGAGTCTGACCCTGAGATAAGTGTTAGAATAACATAATGTAACTGGCAGTGGGTGGGTAGGTATACTGTTGAGTTGAATTTCGGAAGATTTCTACTCGCATTGCTTAATTAAGGAAGCTGGATATCTGTGGCACTATCGCAGGAGACCCACACTCCAAAAATAGATTGGTTTGGACAGGTTATTCCAACTAGTCGGCGTCATGGGACTTTGCTTTTATAGGTCTGTTTACAGATTTTATCAGACAACTTTTTTCAAACCTTGCTTTCGTTTTAACATTTCTGAGTCTTGGGATTACAGCAGTTGAAAAGTAATCATGGTCTTAAAATTCCGAATCCCTACCATTCCATGTAGCTTTCTATCCAATTCTTCATCACTGTCATCAGATGACTCTGATTCAGTTGGTTTTGAAAAGCTGCAGATTACTTCCCCTATTCTAATGATGAACTGAACAGTGAGCAGAACATTTGGATAAGGCTGGTAGGAGGTTTCACATTCTGGCAGATCTAAAAATATAACAGTCATATTAGAAGTTGTGCATTTTATTAACAAGAAACCAAAAATTAAGATAGTTCCAGTGAAATTTTTTTTGGTCAGTCAGGAGTCATTCGACACATGCAAAAAACCATCAGCAAGCTTAAGAGTATCCAAACCAGACAGAGTTCCACATATATATGTCATCGACACATAAAATGTTCCCTTTATCCAAAATGGAATGGGCACCATCTTAGTGGAGTGACGAACCCTGATTATTTAATCCCAATGAGTATTTGGCTTAAGTTGGTGAAAGCTAAGCCTTAGGGATACTAATGGAGGCCAGTCAGCTAAAACCACATAGCTGTGATTGAGAGCGCTGTCTGACAAGTTTCCTGCTGCTTGTCCAGCTTGGATCACCCTATCTGTCAGGGTTTTACCATGAAGTTAAAACTTAACCGAATGGGAAGAATCCCCCCTCCAGGTCTGCCCCACCAGGTCCTGCCAGTGAGGCAGGCTAGCTAGTCTGCCATCAGCAATACTTTGGAATACTGCATCAGAAACCAGACTGCCGAGACTGCCAAAGAGAGTCAACTAGATTCTGACATTCTGTTGCGAAGAACATCACTTTGGAGCCAGCTCAGCCCCAAACAGACCCCACTTACCTGCACCCCCCCACCACCAGGAGAATAGTAAGGAGATTTGTATAATCAGCAATGGATTTTTAAGTGTATAAAGCATTGCACATTATACCAGCTTGACCTATTATACAATCTTGATAATGTAAGCTCTGAGAGAACCTGTCACTGACAAAGGTTACTTCAAATGTAATGATGCTGAGTTGGTGTCACCTTGATTGGGTCTATCAGGAGATTGATCTTAAGATAGCTTTCTGGAGGGCACTCAAAATTACTGTACTAGAAATTCTACTGATCGAAAACTAAAAAGATTACTGTTATAGCAGATTTTTACCAAAAACATCAGTGACATAGAAATACAAATTTGTTGACATTTGGAGCATTTTAAATCTAAAATATGGAAGGTTACACAGATTTTGTTAAAATTTTAAGTCTAAAAATCTCAATTTCCTATTTGTTCTTTCTTAAGGTGCTGTAAGGTATTGAGTGATAACAAAGACAATTAACTGTTTTTAAAAGTGGAGTCCTGTAGCTCAGTGGTTGAGCACTCGCTTTGCAAGCTAGAGACCTGAGTTCAATTCCAGGCAGAGGGCGAAACCTTGGGCAAGTTTCCTTACTCCACACAGAGCCTAATAATAATCCCTCCAAAACCAAAAACAATAATAAAATTGGTCATTTTCAATCCATGACTGTTTGTGGGACATTGCTGTGCGCAATTAGCTGCCGCGTTCGCCCACAAATATACAGTCAATTCACTTTACAGTGTGTTCTGTGAAGCGCTTTGGGACGTCCTCCTGACGTGAAAAGCGCTATGTCAAATGCAAGGATTATTATTATTATTATTATTATAAAATATCAATTGCAAGATAAGTAAGAATATATTTCCACTCCCTCCCTGCTAATCAAGACTACAACTGCAGCATCAAGGCAGCACCATGCTTTTTGTCACACCAAATTTTAAAGAGAAGGAATTAATTGACAATAACAAAACAACTTGACGACGCAATCATGAACATGTTCATTTAAAGTGTTATCGAGGTCGTACAAAAGTTGGTCGATCAACAACAACATCTTGGATTTATATAGCGCCCTCCACGCTGGACAGCGTCTCAGAGTGCTTCACAGTAACGGATCCCGGGACTGAGCCAGGGGGAGGGGAGCAATGTGACCAAAGGCGCGGTCGAAAAGAAAGTTCTTCAGCAGAGACCTAAAAATAGGAAGAGAGGGGGCGAGGCGAAGGGAGTGAGGAAGGGAGTTCCAGAGCCTCGGGGCATAGTGGCTGAAGGCATGGCCGCTGAGGGTGGAGCGGAGGACTCAGGGGACAAGGAGGAGGCCAGACCCGGAGGAACGAAGGCAACGGGCACTGTTTTGTGGAGAGAAGAGGTCAGAGAGGTAGGGGGGTGCAGAGGAGTGGAGGGATTTGAAGACAAGGGTGAGGATCTTGAAGTCAATCCACTCTGGGACAGGCAGCCAGTGCAGTCTAGTAAGGACTGGGGTGATCGGGGAGCGGAGTTTGGTGCGGGTGAGAATGCGGGCGGCAGAGTTTTGAATAATCTGGATTTTATGGTTGGTAGTGGAGGGGAGGCCGGCAAGGAGGGCATTTGAATAGTCCAGCTGAGAGGTGACAAAGGCATGGACCAGGGTTTCAGCGGCTTTCGGAGAGAGGTATTGGCGGAGACAGGCGATACGTCGGAGGTGGAAGAAAGTGGTGCTGGTGAGGGACTGCATGTGGGGGAGGAAGGATAATTGGGGGTCGAACCTGATGCCTCGGAGAGTCTTAGGGGGAGGTCGGGTAGGTGGAGGAGGTGAGAACTGTGAGATTTTAGACGTTGACGAGAGCCAAAGAGTATGGCTTCCGTCTTGTCAACGTTCAGCTGAAGGAAATTTGCGCTCATCCAGCTCCTGAGGTCTGACAGGCAGGCTGACAGAACATCAGAGGACTGGGGGTCGCAAAGAGAGGTGAAAAAATAGAGTTGGGTGTCGTCCGCATACGTGTGGAAGTGTACCCCATGTCTGCGGATGACATCCCCAAGCGGAATCATGTAGATCAGAAAGAGGAGAGGGCCAAGGATGGATCCTTGGAGTACCCCACAGGTAACCAGGTGAGAGCGGGAGGAGAAGCCGTTTGTGCAGATGTTTGTGAGGTAGGACTCGAACCAGGGTTTCTTGGAGGTGATGGTGGGTGAGCGAGAGGAGGGAGAGATGGGGAGGAAGGATGTAGAATGGGGGTCGTGGTAGGAGCAGGTGATGGGGAGGGTGAAGGGGACAGAAAGGTTGTGGTGTGGGTGACAAGAGGCAGGTGGATGATGTTGCCTGGCGGATGTTGTGTATTTTAGATGAAAAGAAGTCCATCCTCACACTTGGCATTGGATGTGAAGATTGAGGAGGCCTGAGGGGGGGCACGGAGGAGGTAGTGGGTGGTGGAAAAAAGGATTTTGGGATTGTTTTTGGCCTCCAAGATGATGTTGGAGTTGAAGACCGTTTTTGCGCATATCAAGGAATGGCGGTAGCTGTGGAGATGCTCGAGCGACAGTTGGCGGTGAACTGTCAGGCCAGTTTTCCGCCATCTGCACTCGAGCAGTCAGATTTGGGTTTTTAGGCAGCGGAGATGGTTGTTGTACCGGGGGATCGGGTGGGTTTGGAGATGGTCCTGGATTTCAGGAGGACGAGGGAGTTGAAGTGGAGGAGAGGCGATCATGGAGCAGCTGGACGGCTGCTTCAGGATCTCTGTGGGTGGAAGGCCAGAGGGATAGGATGTTTGATGATGCGAGGGCCTTTGTGAGGGTCTCAGGGGGTAGCCTTTTCCAAGGGCGATAGAGAATGGTTGAGGGCTTGGTGGAGGAGAGAGATGTGAGAGAAGGAGATGAGGAAGTGGTCCGAAATGGCCTTGTCCACTGTGCTGAGGTCGGAAATGTCAAGTGTCAAATGTCAAATATCTCTCTACAGAGCAATTACTTCCCAAATATGTTTTTTTAACATTTAAATAAAACAAAACAATTCTTCATGAAGAACCAATATATCTGTTAACTCCAGGCATCAGGTCAGATTCCTGCACATCATTTCAAGAGTCCCCATTGTGTCTAAATGCTATGATCAGCAGGGACTGGAGTTATAACATTTCATACTGACACAATATCGCCATGGATGCAATCTTGTTATGCCACTGATTTATAAAGAAAATGACGTGTCATGGTCATGTTGTTTTATTATGATTCCAAGGCTTTTTAAATTGTGTACAATTTAGTCTTCCTTCATTTAGAGTGCTCTGACTCACCTTTCAGCTTCAACATTTGTCCACAACACACCTGACAGCTCTTGTTATGCTACCAACTCACCTATCGCTACTCTGACTCACCCTATCAGCTCTGACTGTACTCCCCGATTGAACTGTCAGTTCTCATTACATATGAAAATGATCTTAAAATAACTTCTTTCCACTTCGGTCAGGTTTTTACTATGTTCATTCTCCCACTGATTGAATAAATGGAAAGTGCAGCAGGAGCTAGAATCGAATCAGAGCAGGAGATTGCTAGTGAGTCATGGAGAAGAGTGGGAGGTGCCTGGGCTCTACAATTTTGGGGGGGTTCAAAATCAGTAATGGGATATGTGACCCCCTCCGCCCCAAACCACGGTACAGCCTTATATTTCACCAAATACCAGTCCTAAAAGACAGTGGGGAAATTTAGCAGAATCATGAATTCAAAGGTGCTTGGAAAGTGAATTACATTGTTCCCAGGGGGTTAACAAAATAGGGTCAAAATTCCAGTGAATTAGCCCGAAAAGAACTTAAAGGGTTTTGAAGTTAGAATCTGATCAATTCTGGCATATGAATGATAGACACTAGAACGGTTATAATTGAACATCAAAGAGCAGCCAAACAAATTAAGCTCCAGAACCTCCCACAACAGACCTCAATGGCCACAACAAGGTCATTTTTGGCCTCAGGAAAATGTCTGGAGTATATTAACTCCAATTTGCAATGGAGAAACGTGATGCAAACATAAAATTACAATGAAGAGAAAGGATGCAGCAGTACTAGCAGAAAAGATGCCAGTAACAGGAAAGAGCCATTTATTACAAAGAATGAAAGAAATTTACAGCACAGAAGAAAGCCATTCAAGCAAATCTGCACAAGCTCGCAGAGCAAGATGTTCATTCAACCCCACTGGCCTGCTTTCCCCATACCCCTTCAAGTCTCTTACCTTCATATACTCATCCACTCCCTCTGGAAACCTACAATGGATTCTGTCTCTGCTCCCTTACTTGCAGGGCATTCCACAACAAATCCAACAACTCTTTTGGTGTAAAACAATTTTGCCTAAGCTCACTTTTGCTCTTCTTGTGACTATCTTTTGGACTATTGCCTACAAAATACACACAGTCACACCCTTTACTGTAAATCATGTGAAGCTATTTGAGATGTCTCAACTATGTGACAAGGCTCTATATTAAACGCAAGGATTATTATCGTCATAACTATAGCCCCTAGTCACTGACTCCACTGCTTCAACTTGCATTTGTATAGCACCCTTCATTTGGGGAAGCATCTCAGAATGCTTCGCCCTGCTAGTGAAAATAGCTTCTCCCTATTCTGGATGAGGAAGTTTCAAATGCATCTTTTTGGTACATCAGGACACATTGATAAAATAGATGAGGGATACATTGGTAAAATGTGAGGAGGGGGACTTGGAAGGAAATAATTAGCTTCTTTTTAAATGGCACAAATTCCTTTTGTTGGGGAATAGTCAGGCCAGGAAGGGATAAAGATCTTGCCTCAAGAATCTTTATATGGACTCATTGACTACAGGGAGATAAAGACAGGAAGCAGAAGGATGACTGGTGATGGAGTGGAAGTTCAGTTTGACTGAGTAAATACTTCCTTCCCTCAGTGATGACGAGGTAACCATGGTCTCATAGAGGAAGATGTGGGCACAATACACCTGTTCCTACCAGCTATATGTTACTAGATTTTGAGGGAAATGGATGCAAAATGAACAGAAATTAGCATGCATTCTGACACTCCACCTATTGCAGATGGAAACCAAGGGGTTGGACCTGGTGTCATTTCTGGTAACGTTCTAGGCTTTTACACCAAAGTAAACTATGGCACTTAGTATATATTTTAGCAAAATACATCTTACATTTTTCCTCCAAATTCCGTTGACTTTCAAATTTGTTTTCTTACAAAATACAGTCACTACACTTTACAGTAAAATCCAGTGAAGTGCTTTGAGATGTCATCCTGATATGAAAGCGCTATCCCAAAGCAGGAAAAGCAAGAATTAATTATTTTGTTGACAGCGAGGTACACAACTTTCTAGCAAACCATTTGCAAATATCAGTACAATTACAAAATTAACCATTTTTAAGACACAAAACAGATCATCAATGTAACAATGGTCAATTTGATCAGTGTATGTTCCAAAAACATTTATTTTATCAGAGAAAGTCTGAAAATCTGACACCCATATTCTTTGGATCAGTTCATGAACGTGCCCATAAATGCTCTGAATCATGCTCTTCAGATAATCTGCCAGAAAGCATGCTTGAGCAGAACAGGACAAAACCTTCCCCATTCCCAGTTCTTCTTCCAGACAGTTTTCTCTTCTCAATCAATGAACTAGCTGAGACAAACAGGACTTTGAACATTCAGGGAGAAAGCCATAGTGTAATAACCAGAGTTCTACCTCAGATCCACTAGCCAATAAATCAAAATTCTAGTAACATAATTACTCAGCCAACCCTTGGCCCCTGGCGATTTTGACATTTATTTTTAACAGTATTTAAAGATATAAAATGCATTAAAACGTTTATTTTAAAAGGTTAGCTTTCAAAATATTCCAGGCCAACATAGTCCCAGACTCCCATCTTTTGAAGAACTGAGTTCTTTTGTCAGTAGGGACAGCACTTCAACCATGCATTGATTACTTGAAAAATACTAGAAACAGTGAATGCATTATTACCAATAACTCTAAAAGTTTTTGTGCTTGCATTATAAATGGTCCCTGAATTACATAATCTAATTGGCAAACAACTGAATATCTGAAAAAGAAAAATATCAAATTTGACTCTTAGACTTTTCATATGTTTCATGCAAGTACAGTTAATAGTGCAACTCCAATGATCCAAAACAGTGAGCAACACACACACATTCAATTTAAGTGAGCCTTTCAATGAAACAATGCATTAAACTGAAACTTTCAAAATGGGGCATGTAACAAGGCTGGTTTTAAAAAAAACATTGCATCAACACATCATAAAAATTATTGGGACATTTAGGCAAGTTGTGTTTGAAGCATCTGTAAAATCATATCGGGAGTATTTTCAACTTGTAATTTGTTTTCACTGAAGTGTTTTTACAATCCACACGAGGCTTAGATGCATTAGGTTTATCATAGTCCTACCTTTTAAATAGACACAAAGATAAGCTTTATGATCCTTAAAATCTTCCAAGAGTCCAACCTTGTGAAAGATGAACAATCTTAGAAATACCAAAAATCCAAGCTATGGAAAGAAGGAAACAAATACAAACTTTTATAGAGGCTTATCATGACATTATAGTATACCTTTTTTAAAAAAAAACAGTTTATTTTCCATCTTACAAATATGACTTTAAAAAAATCAAGAACAACTCTGTTTCATTTCTGAAACGAGAGTCTTATACAGTTAGTAGCTAATAGCCAGTAATTGTTGTGGATACAATATATACATGTAAATAGATGGCACCCAAATCACAGGATCACAAGGTTGGTTTGGATAAAGCAGGCCCTTTGGCCCGTTTGATCTTATCCTTCATGAATACCCACCCTACCGTCTTTCTACTTTCAACTTTTACTCTTGATTCGCTTCCCTGTTAGACATCAAGGCCTGGATGAGATTAAATTTTTTGCAGGTTCGTATGGACCAGATGGAGGCCATCCTCCTCAGCTTGTGCCAATACCTCACTTCTTTCTCTGGCCAGCTCAACCTCAATAGAGGCTCTCTCAAATTCACCTCACAATTTGAAATGGGACTGGAAAAGTAAACGCAGAACAATACTTTAGGATGCACAAAGACAGTAGAACAAGAGACAAAGGTTTAGAATTGTGGAGGACAATATCAGGACAAATACCAGGCATTTTTATTTTCTCAATGGTACATAATGACTGGAACAGGTTTCCAAAAAATGTGGTAAGTCCAGGACACTGAACTCATTTAAAAATCAGCTTGACGCTCTGATAGGAGGACAGTAGGGTGCCATTCGGGGGGATGATATCAAAGGGGTGAAGAAAGGCCTTATTCAGCCAGGGCAATTTTGTGATCTTGTGAAGGGGGCTAAGTGTTATTGTTGAATGTGCAAAATATGAGTAAATCAATATGGCAAAAGCCACCTATGTTGGAATTTCTAACAATCACAATATAATTTAAAATAGAATAGTAAATGACTCCCTTGAAAGCCTTTTCTAAAATTTAAGTTAATCAGTTATTATTTGTACAGATTTTCACAAGCAGCTCCACTGAGTTACATCAAACCATTTCCATTTGTCAGAAAACACTCACTCAGATCACATATCTGATCATTTCTGGTTTGCTGCCATTCAGGTAAGCAAGGAACCTGTATCCTTTATAATTTTGGATTTTGATCCAAGCACTCAAACTCAAATCATAGACTCACTATCAGCTGGGGCACGAGTATGATGATTATCTTTGCTGATGTTTTGTAGGGATTATCTAACATCTAAAAAAATATCAGGAAAATTGACAATAAATTAGTTGATTATCATAGACTTCCTGTACATTAGCAATATATAGAAATAATATTAATATATTAATAATAATCCTTAGACTGGGAAAAGAGCCTTTCACACCGGCAGGACATGTCAAAGCGCATCAAAAATATACTGTAAAGTGTAGTGACTGTGTGTTTTGTAAGTGAAGGCAGCATCCAAATTGTTGCATAACTCAGCTGGATATCCATCTACATTGAGAAATTGGGGATTAAGAGGACTTTTGGAAGTTGTTCTAGTTGTTCTAAGAAATGACTTTTTTTTTAAGATCTCAATATCCCTCCTCCTACACCCCACCCACCACATACTTGGCTCCATTTGTAATCCCCTTTAACCTTATTTTACATTGAAGTTACTTCACTAGCATCATGTCCCAGAATAACATGCCGCTTCAAATTGCCTAATCAAATATGTCCCAAAGTGGTCCACAAGCATTGGAACTTGCTAAACCTGCATATAATACAGTGCAGCCCTCTTACAACATGCTTTACTACAGTGCAAATTCGCTTATAAATATAGTTGCACTGTGGACCCTATCCACTCACTTCCATATGCTGGTAGTCATTTAGCACTAAAATGGCTGGCTTCTGTGTTATTAAGTTACCTCCAACATTATTTCCTGCTTTGCTATGCATACACAAAACAGGAAGTGACATTGAAGGGACACTGTGGTGCGCAATTGGTCTCCCCGTTTCCCCCACAAAATATACTGTCAATTCACTTTACAGTAAAATCTGTGAAGTGCTTTGAGACGTCTTGAAAGACAAATGCAAGGATTATTATTATTGTTGTGGAGTCCTGTAGCTCAGTGGTTAGAGCGCTCGCCTCACAAGCAAGAGACCTGCGTTCGATTCCTGCCAGGGTAAAATATTGGGCAAGTTTCCTTATTCCACACGTCTCTGTTTACCTAACAGTAAGTAGGAACCCGATTGTTAGTCGATTGGCGGATTGCTTTTCCATGGGTAATAATTCCTTCAACAAAAAAAAATTGGTTACTTCAATCCATGACTGTGTGTGGGACACTGCTGTGTGCAATTGGCTGCTGTGTTTCACCCACAAAAAAAGATATACAGTCAAATCACTTTGCAGTATATTCTGTGAAGTGCTTTGAGATGTCTTGAAGACATGATAAGACGCTATATGAAATGCAAGGATTATTATTATTTCTTTCAACATATTGCACACTTTTCACTCCTTTTAATTTTTTTAAATGCTAATTAGGTGTGAGCATTCAGATATAGTATACAGATTTTCAGTGTGAAAGCTTTGAAACAAGACGTTATTGACATTATAATTCATGAATTACTATAGATTTCCTGTAGATTGAAACCTATCCCCAGACTCTTTGAGAAATTTGTGCATTGGATGACTTTTCTTGTTCAAGAGGGTCTAAATACAAGGAAATTGAATTATTTTCATCTGAATTTTCCTGCTCCTTTCCCCATACTTAGCTCCCATTTTTCCCTTTTAACTATTGTTAAAGTTCCCATACCACGATTTAAAAAGAGAAAGGAGTTCCTTCTTATGTCCTTGCTAACAATGCTCAAATAAAATGTGTCACTCTGTGATGACTGCTTATGAGATATTGTGTGTGCAAATTGGCTGCCATGTTTGCCTACAAATACACAGTCGCTTGACTTTACAGTATTGTACACCTACAAATCAAAGATTGTAATAAGCATGAAAAATTCAACAACTCCAAAGACTGGAAACCCAATTCTTATAGTGTCAGGAGCTACAGAAAATCTTTGTAGTGTTTGACGTAACAGTGTATATAATAGGCCCATTAGAACATCGATGTCAGCCTGTTTAAAGTCTGCTTTAATGGACTGGAAAATTGGGAATCTACGAAGTATTTTCTGACTCGCAGGAGGTGCTGGCAAGCTCCACTCAAGGAAAGAGAAACTGAAAATGAACAAGATAACAAGAGAGCAGAAACAATTTAAATCAAAAGAGACAGATCTGAAAGAAAAACTGAAGAGCCTTTTTTTTAACAGTTTTTAAAATAGAGAACTCTTAAGATAAAAATGTCAATTCAAAAACGTTCCAGAACAATTTGTAGCTAATCTGTAAAATAATTGACTCCATCCTTCCCATTTTAACCAAAGATGAATTCCTGTGAAACACATCTTAATTGCCTGATCAAAAGGGAAGGGCGATAATCTGTTTCTGCCTTTAACTAGTTTATTGAAAGGTACTCAGAATTATTTTCTAATTCCCACTCCCCGGTTTGAAAATAGTGTTTAACCTTCGATCAGCAACTATCCATAACAATCTAACTGAGATCAGGTAATTACTGTGAGAAATCGCAATGTCCATCCTATTAATAAATGAAAGTAAATTCAAACTGAAATGTTTTTCTTATAGTATGTATTGTAAATAGATACACACCGAGAAATAGATACTTCAGACCTAAATATTGATCAAGGTGCATAACATAGGCTTTGTTCTGTCCATTGCATTGTATATTACACTTCTCATAAAGCCCCATTTGAAACCACCTCTAACATCACTGCAACACAAGTGTCTACTGGACAGTCCAAGAACTTTCCGGGGACTGCTTCTTAATGCCATTAATAATATGACCGCATGACTAGTTTGTTAATAATACAAAAACTGACACCTAATTTGAAAGTTCTTAGTTGCACATATGTAGAACTCCAAAATTAGGTATTCTTTTTTAACAGTGTGCAGCTAATTCACTTTTCTACTGTGAAAATGATATTGCTTCCAGTTATAAAACAGGGCATGAAATACTGCAATATAATATGGTACAAATATAGTGCCAGGATCTGACAGCTTGCTGAGGACCTCTAGTAGCTGAAACATGGTAGTGCAGAAGTACAGATCTAGACAAACCTCAAAGAAACAAAACTCTACCCAGTGTGGGAATGTAAAAGGACTAAAACACGTAAAGTACAGAGTGTCTCGATTAGATATGATGAGATTAGAGATGTTTTTGAGCAACAGCTGTAGATAATCAGAGCAGAACCTGTGTCCTTGTACTGTCTGTGAATGTATACTCAAGCTTGTGATGATTGAATGCTTGTCCATCAACAGCAAGAATTGTTTGAGACACGAGTTAAGCATGAGGTGATTGCAAATAATCATGTATATAAACTAATGGGACTGCCCCATTGTTAGAAGGAGAGTACCGACTCTTCTGAGAGACGTGCTATTGTATTGCCTCTCGCTTTCCCTCTCCTTGCTGCAAGTATTTGAATAAACTATACTTCTGAGCTAACTCTGTTTGTGAGTGTTCGTTTAAACCTAGCTATAGCGACTACATCCTGGGTTCTACACCAGACGTAGCCTGGAACATGATTTCATCTTAAAATTCAGATTGAATAGAATTGTGAGAATTCTTAAATTAATTTGGAAACGGGGTTCTTTTAAAAACAGCAGAAAAACAGCTTTCAAATTAAGACTGAATTTAGGAATTTTTCACAACCTTTTCAATCTTCACTTCAAGACAAAATGACATTTCAGACGAAGACTGAAATTTCAAACCTGAATATCTTTAAATGATAAAAAAAAATCAAGTCTAAGAGAATCTGTGATTTTCACTCCCAATGAAGACTGTCTCATGTTTCTAACTTCAATCCCACATCAATCATTAACCACTTGAAAACATGGGTAAATACTATTGGAAAAGTTAGCCTTGGTACCAATGATTGCATCTCACAAAATTAGTTGTAATAATATTATCATTACAGTATAACCACAATATTGTTTTACAAGAATCCAGCATTTGAAATAGCTTATCATTATGATTATTCAGTTATGCAAATCAAAGCTGTCTGGGTTATTTTAATTCAACCTTGTATGTACCTTTATGATCTTGATTTCGCTGGAATAAAGATAGGGCTGTTGTATGGCATCAGCAAAAATCCAGTACAAAACTGTCTCCGCAAGAAAGAACAAACAAGAAATCTGGTCTGGATCGAATGGGGCGTGGTCCAAGGAAGTCAAGAGAATGTCCAAAGCCCCTAGAGAATTTTTTTAGAGATCAATTAGTTTCTCACAATCAGTGAATCAAACAAGCTAATTAAGGCTGGCAATTATTCTTTTTCAACTTCATTAGCTATTGGCACTATTCAAAAAGAAAAGGTTGTTTCTCTCGATGCCATGGCTAACAATCCCCAGATAAAATTGTTCATGACTGTGAAACCTGCTGTGCGTAGATTTGCTACCAGATTCGCCCTCAAAATACAGTCACAACACTTACCTGTCTCCACCCTCGACTCCAGAACCACTGCTGTGCTGACAGAATGTCTGTCAGACATCAAGTTCTGGATGAGAACAACTTTCTACAGTTGAACGTCAACAAAACCGAGGTCCTCCTGACTGGCTCACCCCCACACCTCAGGCGCTGACAGCATCACCATCCATGGATGCACACTCCATCTCACTGAGCCAGTCCAGAACCTTGGCATCTTGTTTGACCCTCAACTATCCTTTCTACCCCACATCTGTGCCATGACCCGCTCTGCCTTCCCTCACCTCCGCGAAGTTGCCCGGCTCCACCACTGCCTCATCGTCCAGATGATAGAGTTCAAAATCTTCATTCTCGCCTACAAAGCCCTCCATGACCTTGCTCCTCCCTACCTCTGCGACCTGCTAACCCCATATCAAACTGTCTGTTCCCCCACTCAGCAGGCTCTGGCCTGCTTCACGTCGCCGCCCGGCCCACCCCACCATCGGCGGTCAGGCCTTTAGCCTTTCTGCCCCCATCCTATGGAACTTCATCCCACATTCCCTTTATCTCGCTCCCTACCTTGCCTCCTTCAAGGCGCTTCTAGAAACCCTCTTTTCGACTGAGCCTTCGACCACCTCTTCCCTCCCCAATCCCAGCTCAGGTCCAAAAAGTCCAAATCCCTGACTGTCCAGCGCCTGGGTTACATCCTCCCAATGTGAAAGGCGCTATACAAATGTAATTTTGTAATGTATTATATAATTCTATGAAGTTCTTTGAGATGTCCTCCTGAAAGGCATTATACTAAATACAAGGATTATTTTAGAATACTTTTCAGAGGGAAGGGAGAATGTAATATGTGATATAACTAGTGATGCATTACTATCTGCCACAGAAATGTAAACTTTCATGTTACTTCACCGCATAAAGTGGTGAAGAAAATTACATTTAAATTATAAATCAATTCTGTGGAATAGAAAGAGCAAACCATTCTTCAGCGATCAGTGGGGTGAGGGGTGGATGCCATTGAGAGAAGGCCAAAAGGATAATTTTTCTCTCCATCTGATAATTTTAGCTGGTGGCAATTATTACAATTCCCCCCCTCCTCTCCATAATCATCTTGAGAGGATGGGTTATTGTTTCTTTTATTTAAATCATTTGTAAAATATGTACAATAACCAGTTTTTAGGTTCAGTTTCAAGATCCTCATCCTCGCATACAAATCCGTTTATAATAATAATAATAATAATCCTTGCATTTGGTATAGCGCTTTTCACGTCGGGAGGACGTCCCAAAGCGCTTCACAGAACACACTGTAAAGTGAATTGACTGTATATTCGTGGGCGAACGCGACAGCCAATTGCGAACAGCAATGTCCCACAAACAGTCGTAGATTGAAAATGACCAATTTATTATTGTTTTGTTTTGGAGGATTATTATTAGGCTCTGTGTGGAGTAAGGAAACTTGCCCAAGGTTTCGCCCTGCCTGGAATTGAACTCAGGACTCTCACTTGTAAAGTGAATGCTCTAACCACTGAGCTAGCACCTCCCTATCTCTCGTAGCTGCTTGTACCCCACTCTTCTGCCCCCACCCCCTTTACTCAGCTGACATAGGACTACTGTACATACCTAGACCATTGGTGGCCGTGCCTTCAGTGACCTACACCCCTAACTCTGGAACTTCCTGTCTCAATCCCTTCGACTTGCCCCTCTATCTATCTTTAAAAGCAACCTGAAGACTTTCCTCTTACCTCTTCAACTGTCCCTATGGTCACCTCCTCCTCCCCCCTTCTACCTAGCTCGGCATCCAAACCTGCACTATACGGCGCTCCAAGACACGATGGGAGCTAATTGTTTTTGCCATTTTTATCAAATGGTATCAGATGGAGAAGGCATGCTTTTATCTCTTATCTAAATTTTAATTAGATCCCATGTCGATATGATTTTCATTATAGCTTTTAAATTTAAAAGCACCATAGCACTCACGCCCCCTCATGGTAACCAATTAGTCATTGCCAATAACAGATTTATTTTTAATCTTCATTGCAAGTTTCAGAATTTTCACTTTTGGTTCACTTGCAGCCCTTTGACCAAAATATTCTTCCAAATCAAAACAATTTTCCAGAAACAAATGGTTTGCATTTCCCTGTAATTTCCTGAGAAATTGGGCTGCAATCTTATCAGGAGCTTCATCCTACCTGCTTTGTGGCATTGCAATTTATTTGTAAAGTAAAAATGCTTTAGGAAATAGCAATTCAAAACTCACCGTCTTGTATTATCCCTTTACATTGAGCCAGCAAAACTAGATCTGTCCAACCTGCTGATAGATTCACATTGGATCCTGAACCCATTGTATTAAAACCAACTTTGCGCTGTGGGAAAATAAAAATCCTTCTTATTTACCTGCAACAACATTCGCAAGACTACAATAGCTGCATTGGTCTAAATGACACATCAACTTAAGATTGTGAGCCAAACAAAGCCATTCCTTTCTATTATGATACTACCTCGCAGAATATTTATTTGTACATTCAGATGAAGTAATGTCAGCAGCACTTTCTGTTCGTAAAGTGCACAGGGAGGGAGAACTTAGAAGACGATGTTGGCAGCACTCCCTGCCCATCACGTCTGAACTCCTCCCACTCTGGCCTACCCCACCCCTTCCCTGGATCCAAGCCTTTCCTTGGACCCATTCCTGCTCCCTAACTACTACCCCATCTCCAGCCTCCCTTTCCTTTCCAAGTTCCTTGAAAGAGTTGTTGCTTCCCAGCTTCACTCCTTCCACTCCCTTTACGAACCCTCCAATTGAGTTTCATTGCTGCCCATCTGTGACCAGGGGTCCCTCTGTCTCCTCATCCTCCTCCACCTCTCTGCTGCCTTTGACACTGTGGACCACTCTATCCTCCTCTGCCGCCTCTCCTCTCACCTTAAACTTTTAAGTTTCTGTCCTTGAATAGTTCAGATCTTATCTCACACAATCTCCACTTCATCTCCACAAATGGCTTCTCCTCCAGGCTCTCCTGATTGGCTCGCGCCAGTGCCTCTGCACCTCAGGCACTGACAGCATCAGCATCCTTGGATGCACACTCCACCTCACCAAGCCAGTCAGAAACCTAGATGTCTTGTTCAATCCTCAACTGTCCTTTCTCCCCCACATCCATGCCATGACCCGTTCTGCTTTCCTCCACCTCCGCAACATCGCCCGACTCCGCCATTGCCTCACCCCTCAGGCCACCGGAATCTTCAAACATGCCTTCATTACAACAAGGCTTGAATATGCCAACACCCTACTTGTCGGCCTTCCCAACTCTTCCCTCCACAAGCTGCAGATCATCCAGAACTCTGCAACTCATGTCCTCTCCCTCACCAGGCTCCATGACCGCATCATACCTACTCTCATTGGCTCCACTGGCTTCCCATTCCTCAAGAGGATCGAATTCAAAATTCTCATCCTCATCTTCAAGGCCCTGCACGGCCTTGCCTCCTCCTACCTACCATCGGTGGTCGGGCCTTCAGGCTCTTGGCCCCCACCCTCTGGAACTCCATCTCACATTCCCTTTGCCTTGCTCCCTCCCTTGCCCCCTGACAAGGCATGCCTCAAGACCCTCCTCTTCGACCGTGCCTTCGCCCACCCTCCTACCCCCACCTTCCCTGCCCTCCACCTTCCCTGATCCCAACATCACCCACCCCAGCTGGGGTGCTAATTCCTGACTGTTCAGGACCTTGGGATGTCCACCTGACGTGAAAGGCACTTTACAAATATAATTTTGTATTGTATTTGTATAACATGAATGCACACGTGAAGTGACATCAGTGGCAATCTGATCACCTAGACATTGGCTATGTTTTATGGAAGAAAGTCAGCTCGTCAGCATTGATAGTTAGGTGTACAGTTCCAGTTATCCAAAGGCAACTCAGCACTGTATAGCAGGCGGGTACAATGAGGTTTCCGTGTACATTATAATGTATAATAATGAATTTCGGATGATATTCTCTGAGCTGTTCCTATCATTTACCACAGGTGAGCTTTTGGTTTGTGTACCAGACAGCATTTCTGACTATGTGCTTCAATTCAAGACATTGCAATGCAATGTAGTTGGTACTGGGATAACTGTATTGTTGTCTGATATCAGGGTCTAAATTTAAATAATTAGTAACAGGATTGTTCAGCAACAGTTTTGATTTGCAAATGGGAACTGCTTTCGGTAATCATTTGTATTTAAAAAATCAAAAAGCCGTGTCTATTAAACAGCTTAAAAAAATTGGGAAATAAGGATCCAAAAGATAAAATATAACCTAGCTTTTAAGTATCACTGCAACTTAAAAGATTTAAAGGATTAAAAACATGTTTGATGGTTGGCTACAAAATGTCTGTAGCTGTTCAAATATATTGTGTATCTGGTTTGTCTGAAAAACATTGTTTATTTAAAGAAACATTTAAAGGTTGCAATTTCAAGCTCCATTTCAGGACTTGAGCTCCTAGTCAGGTCACCTACTCTTCCCCCCAAAACACACACATAGTAACTGAGATAGACCATTTGCTATAGAAAAATACAGAAGTGACTTTGTTCCGCCCTGTCTCCTAAGATGCCATTAATATATTTATTGCCAAACAGCTAAATAATTTCTTTCACATATTTAAGAAGAATACCTTATTCCAGCTCAGCATTTGTTGAGCGATGGTTATCAACCGTCCCTTTTCCTTTAGCTCTTGTGTGCAGTTAAATTTCTTGACAAATTCTTCAGTGATATGAACTGGGTTTCTGGAATAAATAGCAAGCAGAATCAATCTTAAAAATTACTTAAGTCTGAGATTTTTGATCTGTAAGTTAGTTATTTGATGAACGAATGGCATGGCTACAAATATTATTTTGAGCCTTTTACTCCCAAACCATTTTGGAGCCCAAAAACAACCCAAAGGCACTATCCTCCACCATCCATCACATCCTCTGCTCACACCACCGCCAGCTGCCTCCATTCTCACTTCAAACACCTTTACCCTGTTTACTTCCTCTCTCAACCATCATCTCCCAGATGAAGCCCACCACCTCCTGCCTCGAGCCACTCCCCACCCAGCTGCTGGTCCACCAACTCCCCCTCCTCTCCCCCCTGCTGGCCACCACAGTCAACCAGTCGCTCTTTTCAGGTTCTGTTCCTCTCCGCCTTAAAACCGCTAGCAGCACTCCCCTCCTCAGAAAATCCACCCTTGACCCCTCCAATCTCACAAACCACTGTCTCATTTCCAACCTGGCCTTCCTTGCCAAAGCTCTGGAACACGTTGTTGCTAACCAGCTTTGCTCTCTCCTCTCCCTCCACTCCCTGCTCAAGCCCCTCCAGTCGGACTTCCACCCCTGCCCACAGCACAGAGACGGCACTTGACAAGGTCACAAACGGCATCCTTTCTCTCTCTCTGACCAGGGCTTCTCTGCCTCTTCGTCCTCCTGGACCTCTGCACTGCGTTCGACACAGTCGACCACCCTATCCTCATCCACCACCTCTCCTTCCTCAATAATAATAATATAATAATAATAATCCTTGCATTTGATATAGCGCTTTTCACGTCAGGAGGACGTCCCAAAGCGCTTCACAGAACACACTGTAAAGTGAATTGACTGTATATTTGTGGGCGAACGCGGCAGCCAATTGCGCACAGCAATGTCCCACAAACAGTCGTAGATTGAAAATGACCAATTTATTATTGTTTTTGTGGAGGGATTATTATTAGGAGTGTGGAGTAAGGAAACTTGCCCAAGGTTTCGCCCTGACCTGCCTGGAATTGAACTCAGATCTCTCACTTGCAAAGCGAGTGCTCTAACCACTGAGCTACAGGACTCAACCATCCTAGTGGGACCAAACTAGCCTGGTTCGAGTCCTACCTCACAAATCGCCTTCACTTTGTCTCTTCAAATGCTTTCTTCTCACCTGTGGCGTACCCCAGGGCTCCATCTTTGGCCTCCTCCTCTTCCTCATCTATATGCTCCCTCTTGGCAATGTCATCCGCAGACAGGGGGTACATTTCCACATGGATGCGGATGACACACAAATCTACTTCTCCTCCTGCAGCTAAGACTCCAAGTCCGCCATGTTCTCTCAGCTTGTCTGGCGGACAGTAGGGCTTGGATGAGCAAAGACTTCTTACAACTAAATGTTGACAAGATGGAAGCCATATTCATTGGCTCACGTTAATGTCTTCTGCCCTGCAGCTCTGACCTCCCTGGCCTATCCATTGGATTTACCGAACCAGTCTGCCGCCCAGCTGTTAGGTTCGACCCACAGCTGTCCTTCCTTTCCCACATCCGATCTCTGACCAGAACGTCTTCCTCCACATCCACCACATTGCCCACCTCTGACCAGAACGTCTTCCTCCACATCCACCACATTGCCCACCTCTGACCGTACCTCACCCAAGATGCAGCCAAAACACTCGTCCATGCGTTGGTCCCTCCCAACTTTTCAAATGCCCTCTTCGCCGGTCTCCCCAGCTCTACCATACACAAGATCCAGCTGATCCAAAACTCCGCCGCCCACATACTCACATGCACTAAATTCCATACCCCCATCACATCAGTTCTAGCCAAGCTCCACTGGCTCCCCATCGCCAAACAGATCGATTTCAAGATCCTCACATTCGTTTTCAAATCCCTTCATGCTCTGGTACCTTCCTATCTCTCCAAACTGCTTACCCCCAAACCACTACCCGCTGCCTCCTCTCGACTAGCTCCAGCCTTCTGCATGCTCCTCATGCCCTCCGTTTCACCATCGGTGGACGCGCTTTCAGCCACTATGCCCCGAAACTCTGGAACACTCTTCCTCTGTCCCTCTGCCTTGCCCCTTCCTTCCCCATATTCAGGACGCGTCCGAAGATCTTCCTATTCAACCATGCATACGGTCATTTCCCCTTCCCCCCGGCTCAGTGTCATGCTCCGCCACTGTCAAGCGCTCTGGCAGCTATATAAATGCAAGTTTTGGTATTTTTAATACTAAACACAAATCGCGTTTTCCATAAAGGTAACATCAATTACTTATGGTGGTTTGATGAAATAGAAAACAAATGCAAGCTAACACACCATCAGAATATTGATTCAAAACAGGTTTCAAAAACGTTCTAATCCATAAAAGAAGCCATACTTTGCATTTTCCATTTTGCCTTATGATCCTGATGCAAAAGTAGATAACTTTGATTGATTGTTTGATTGATTGATTGATTGATTCCAATACTGATGTGAGATGAGCCTTTTATGCTGTGTTTAGCTTGTAGACTATTGAGAACTGGTTGAAATAGAACTGATTCTCAACGGACCTGAAGCTGCTGTGCCTGGAATCAGCCCAATTTTCTCTGAAGGGTTATTGGCTGCAAATTTGAAGCTACAGCTCATACATGAACATGCCGTTTGTAGCTATTTCTCAGACACACCTTCTTTTTCTGAGCCACACTTGTTCCCAATCTCCAGACAAGGTTGAGAAAGGTCAGCAATGCTAAAACCACACTGCTAATAGCTCAGCCTTAATGGCCAACAAGTAAAACACTGTTGTCAATGCACTTGGGGAAGCTGTTTGTTTTGCTATTTCAGTTGCTGCAGCCTCTCGATACAACGTGAAGAACTACCTCAGGAGGTTTTATTTATACTGCAGCTCTGCAACTAAAGGCAAGGTTACTGTTGGTGGTAGTGCTGTAGGTTAAAGTAGCCATTAAAAAAAGTAATTAGACGAATCCACCACTACACAGAGAATGGCACTTTTGTTGTTAAAACTGACATTGGAGATATATTGCACATTATCTTATAAAATAAGTAGCTCAGTTTTTCTTGTGTGAGTGTACAATATTTTCAGTACAACTAGGGAAGCAATTTCCTTCAATTACCTTTTACGTAAACGGATATCCTCACTTATATCCAAATTTAAATTTACTGTGAATGAACGGATTTCAGAATGTTAAGGTTTTTAAGTACTTTCAAAAAAAAAAGTGGTGATTACACGTAAACTATTTTTTCTGACTAATACAGCAGACTATCGCGTAATTATGCTGTTTGCATATCAACTGCCTTTTTGGTTATAAAACTGCCCGTTGAGTTTTTCCGTTGGTTACAGAGAACAAATCAGGATTAAAGCTGTCTCTGAAGTAACATTGCAAGTAATATTTAAATGTCAGTCTGCTGTTATACACTGCAAAGATGGTTGTGCCAAACAACTGTGGATTTTGGCTGATTCTGAAGTATTACTGAAAAAACATTCAGATGACAATTAAAAACAGAGTGCTAGATTGTGTTCCAGATCCCTCGCCTCAATTTGGCCAAGTTGGCCAGATCTGAACTGCAACCTCTCCCCCAATACATCGATCTTAGCTCTGCCCGTCATTTCTAGTTTTCATTCTTTTGTTCTTTCTTTTTAGCTCATCCCCTTTAAAAGAGAGTTGAATGTAGATTTAAAGAGGAAAAATATAAAAGGGTAACAGGGATTAGAGTGAACCAGCACCAGCTGGCCTCAATAGATTGAATGGCCTCCTCCTCCTCCTATACTCTTAATTTCTATGCTGATACTTTGAATTGTTACCTTGTAAACATAGACTAAAAGCAATTTAAAAAAAAACTGTCTTGCAGTTTGCACCTTAAAATAAAATATCCGTAAATTATATTTCAAACTGAGCAGTATGAAATGTAATCAAAATGATAGAATACGTTAAATTAACCATTTATGCAATAATTAACTATTAGACAATAACACACTTTCTAACCTTCGCATTTCCTTTTTGCGGCTGCGTTTCAGGGCTTCGCTGGCTTCTTTTGCAAGCTTTTCTTGGAGCTGCAGTTGGTACGTGTGAGAAATTATTCCAAACTTTTTCACTATGGGGATCTTGATAATTGGCATCTTTGCAGGCTGTAGACTGTATGTCCCTCTTAGCAAACTATACCTACAATCACAATCAATAAAAGGCAAAGACATAGTAAACAGATTAATAAATAGGAGAGATCAGAGATTAGAGGCCACATCAAACAAAAATCCAGAGTATCAGAAAGCTGGAAATCTAAGGTGGGTCAACTTCTGGTGTGTTAGGTGAGCCGGGGGGTTAGGAGAGGGCTTCTGCCTCCATCATACCTGGGTACCAGTCAATATGTCACATGGCATATTGTACTAGAAGTGGAAGTCCACTCTGAAATGCTACATAGAATAAATCTAGACCCAGGTGGAATTTCTCCCTCTCCATCTAGTTTGATCTATTGATCTCTCTACCCCTCCACCCTCCAGGCCCATTGAACAAGTCAGTAACTCTGTGCAGACTGGAAGGTCCTTACTGTGTCCTGTCCTTGCTGTTCAAGGCACAGGTGCACATCCTGAATACCACTCATACTCGCCGGTTTACTGTAAGGATTTCTGCTCTCCAGACTGAGTTTATTTTTTTTACACACACATCGAGCTATTTTCCCAAAAAATTGCACGCCTCCGCCACTGCCTCTCACCACAGACCGCCGAGACCCTTAGCCACACTTTCATCACCTGTGAGATTGTGTGAGAGTGTGAGAGTATGTGTGTGAGAGTGTGAGAATGTGTGAGTGTGTGAGTGAGAGTGAGGGAAAGTATGTGTGAAAGTGTGTGTGAGGGTGAGAGAGTGTGAGGGTGAGAGAGTGTGTGTGTGTGTGATTGTGTGTGAGTGTATGTGAGTGTGTGAGTGTGTGCTTGAGAGTGAGATTGTGTGTGTGTGTGTAAGTGAGAGTGGTGTAAGTGAGAGTGTGTGACTGAGTGTGACTGAATGTGTGTGTGTGTGAGAGTATGTGTGAGTGTGTGACTGTGAGTGTGTGTGAGTGAGTGTGTGACTGTGTGTGAGTATGTGTCAGTGTGTGAGACTGTGAGTGTGACTGAGTGTGTGACTGTGACTGAGTGTGTGACTGTGACTGAGTGTGTGACTGAGTGTGTGTGACTGACTGAGTGTGTGACTGAGTGTGTGTGTGTGTGACTGAGTGTGTGTGACTGTGACTGAGTGTGTGACTGAGTGTGAGTGAGTGTGTGACTGTGAGTGAGTGTGTGACTGTGACTGAGTGTGTGACTGTGACTGAGTGTGTGACTGAGTGTGTGTGACTGACTGAGTGTGTGACTGAGTGTGTGTGTGACTGAGTGTGAGTGTGTGTGTGACTGAGTGTGTGTGACTGTGATTGAGTGTGTGACTGAGTGTGAGTGAGTGTGTGACTGTGACTGAGTGTGTGACTGTGACTGAGTGTGTGACTGTGACTGAGTGTGTGACTGAGTGTGTGTGACTGACTGAGTGTGTGACTGAGTGTGTGTGACTGACTGAGTGTGAGTGTGTGTGACTGACTGAGTGTGAGTGTGTGTGTGACTGAGTGTGTGACTGAGTGTGTGACTGAGTGTGAGTGAGTGTGTGACTGTGACTGCGTGTGTGACTGTGACTGAGTGTGTGACTGAGTGTGTGACTGACTGAGTGTGTGACTGAGTGTGTGTGACTGACTGAGTGTGAGTGTGTGTGACTGACTGAGTGTGTGTGACTGTGACTGAGTGTGTGACTGAGTGTGAGTGAGTGTGTGACTGCGTGTGTGACTGTGACTGAGTGTGTGACTGAGTGTGTGACTGACTGAGTGTGTGACTGAGTGTGTGTGACTGACTGAGTGTGAGTGTGTGTGTGACTGAGTGTGTGACTGAGTGTGAGTGTGTGTGTGACTGAGTGACTGTGACTGAGTGTGTGACTGAGTGTGAGTGAGAGTATGTGTGTGAGAGTGTGTGACTGTGAGTGTGTGAGAGAGAGAGAGTGTTTGTGTCCCTCTTACCTGCTCCCAACCTCAGGTCTGCACCACCGCCGCTGTTGTGTTGGCGACGGTTGCTATGGACACGCAGCACGAGAACTGCCTGAGCTCTCACCTCCATCACTAACTCATCACCATCACTAACTCCTCCCCATCACCATCACCAACTCCTCCCCATCACCATCACTAACTCCTCCCCATCACCATCACCAACTCCTCCCCATCACCATCACTAACTCCTCCCCATCACCATCACTAACTCCTCCCCATCACCATCACTAACTCCTCCCCATCACTATCACTAACTCCTCCCCATCACCATCACTAACTCCTCCCCATCACCATCACCAACTCCTCCCCATCACCATCACTAACTCATCACCATCACCAACTCCTCCCCATCACCATCACTAACTCCTCCCCATCACCATCACTAACTCCTCCCCATCACCATCACCAACTCCTCCCCATCACCATCACCAACTCCTCCCCATCACCATCACTAACTCCTCCCCATCACCATCACCAACTCCTCCCCATCACCATCACCAACTCCTCCCCATCACCATCACTAACTCCTCCCATCACCATCACTAACTCCTCCCCATCACCATCACTAACTCCTCCCCATCACCATCACTAACTCCTCCCCATCACCATCACCAACTCCTCCCATCACCATCACCAACTCCTCCCCATCACCATCACTAACTCCTCCCCATCACCATCACCAACTCCTCCCCATCACCATCACCAACTCCTCCCCATCACCATCACCAACTCCTCCCCATCACCATCACCAACTCCTCCCCATCACCATCACCAACTCCTCCCCATCACCATCACTAACTCCTCCCCATCACCATCACTAACTCCTCCCCATCACCATCACTAACTCCTCCCCATCACCATCACTAACTCCTCCCCATCACCATCACTAACTCATCACCATCACCATCACCAACTCCTCCCCATCACCATCACTAACTCCTCCCCATCACCATCACTAACTCATCACCATCACCATCACTAACTCCTCCCCATCACTAAACTCCTCCCCATCACTAAACTCCTCCCCATCACTAAACTCCTCCCATCACTAAACTCCTCCCCATCACTAAACTCCTCCCCATCACTAAACTCCTCCCCATCACTAAACTCCTCCCCATCACTAAACTCCTCCCCATCACTAAACTCCTCCCCGTCACTAAACTCCTCCCCATCACTAAACGCCTCCCATCACCATCACTAAACGCCTCCCCATCAGTAAACTCCTCCCATCACCATCACTGACCTCCCCCTCCCCTTCCCCCCATTTTAACATCATGCAAATTGGCATTTTTTTTAAAAGGTGGAAATTAGTTACTGCAATGAAGCCATAGTTTAGAAATGAGAACATTTTCTTCCATTCAGGCTGGGGACAGGCTACGCGTCAGTGCCTTGACTTGGTGCTTCTGAAATATTACTGATTCTGATTTAAATGTGTTTCCAACATCTGTTCTGGGTTAATATATTATATTCTATCTATTGGCATGCTGGAACATGAACAAATGAATTACAAAGATGCCCCTTTCTTCCCTGTGAAAAGTGCCATTAAAGCCAAGGGATAAATCTGACAAGAGTTCAGGCAATTTTACACAACTCCCAGGTGGCACTATGGACATTATTGCACATTATTGCTGCCCCAATTCCTACATAGCACTCCACTGCAAACGTGTTCACCAGCAGGGGATTGTAGATTACAAAATGATACTTTATTATATTTTATTTTATCTACACCATGGGCCATTCCGTAAATGCAGTTCAACATCAGTGTTAAAACAATAAAATCTAACATATTACCTTTTATATTCAGAACACAAAATAGTATATTCCCTAAAAGCAAATAAGATACAATCAATCACACATGAACAATTAATAGTATGCAATTCTAGGATTCTCCAAGGATATCTTGTTCAATGCCCACACAATCTACATTAATGATTTGGACTCGGGAATCAGCAGTACAATTTCAAAATCTGCAGACAATACCAAATTGGGGGGTGTAGTTTGTTGCAGTCCTGCAACAAATTACACCAAGACATTAATAAGGGGAGGACTGCAACAAATTACAGCAGGACATTAATAAACTTGCTGAGTGGACATTTAAATGGCTGATGCATTTCAATGTGGAAAAGTGTGAGGTGGTACATTTTGGTAGAAGGAATAAGGAAGTCACATATATCCTGGAAAATGAAAACCTAAATGAGGTAGAGGAGCAAAGAGATCTAAGGGTACACACACACAATTAGTGAAAGTAGCACTAAAGTTGCAACGCAGGTTAATAAAGCCATAGAAAAAGCAAACCAGGCATTGGGGTTCATTTCTAGAGGGAAAGAAATGAAAAGCAGGGAAGTTATGGTAAACTTCTAGAGAACCTTGGTTAGACCACATGGAGAATACTGTGTGCAGTTCTGGTCCCCACATTATAGAAGGGATGTAGAGACACTGGAGGGGGTGTAAAGGAGATTCACAAGGATGATCCCAGAACTGAGAGGTTATACCTATCAGGAAAGGCTGAACATACTTGGACTCTTTTCTCTTGAAAAGAAGAGGATAAGGGGTGACCTGATAGAGGTCTTTAAAATGATGAAAGGTTTTGATAAGGTAGACATAGGGAAGGTGTTTCCACTTGTGGGGAGAACAAAACCAGGGGCTATCAATGTACAATTGTCACAAATAAATCAAATAGGGAAGTTAGAAGAAATTGCTTCACACAGAGAGTAGTGGGAATGTGGAACATGCGACCACAAAGAGTTGTTGAGGCAAATAGCATAGATGTAGTTAAGGGAAAGCTAAATAGGTACATGAGGGAGAAAGGAATAGAAGGTTATGCTTGAAGGCTTAGTTGAGGAAGGGCAGGAGGAGGCTCATGTGGAGCATGAACACCGGCATAGACCAGTTGGGCCGAATGGCCTGTTTCTGTGCTGTATATTCTAATGTATTTGAATGTATTCTCTAAGATTCATTTTTTTCTTTGACTTTGAATTTACATAGTCTAGGCCAGTGATGGTCAAACTACGGCCTGCGGGATGATTCCAGCCCATGGGGCCATCAATAAGTGGACCTCCAACATTCAGTAGAAGAGGCTTTGAAATGACAGGCGAGGACTGACATTTGTGTCTTTTATGGCCCTGGAGATTCCTATGCTCTCGTATTACTTCCTATCCAAATTTATATCTTTTGGAGCAGTACAGGAAGAAATAAATGATATTTCCATTTTTTTGCATGCCGAAGGGAGAAAATGACATTGTATCAGCAAAATTCATGGCAGGGAATGAGATGAAAGTACATTATTAAGGAAGAAAGTGCAGAAAGAAGGGGAAAAGAAAGAGAAGAAGACACCAATGATGTTCGGGCTGACTGTAAAAGATAATTATTTGGGACTATGCATTTTTCCGGAATCTTTGTCTGAATGGTTATGGGGAAAATTACACAATAAACTGAATCATTGATATACCTAGTATTCAATTAACTGATCTTTAAAATGGTTTGGGATTTCTAATTTCTATTCAATAAACCAAACTATTCAATTATCCGATATCCAATTAACTATATTTTACTGTATATTTTACCTCTTTCTAGATGTATTTAAAAAAAACTGTAGACATATGGATTAAATAAATGCATCAACAAATTTAAATTAGTATTCTATTTCAACACAAGAACTATAACGTTCAAAATCTTAAATTTATTGTGCATCTTTTGAAGCAGTGGGGGCTCTGAAATGGCATCTTACATTTTGAACTTCACCACATAATTGTAATGTTCTTAATTATAAATTGATGCTTTCTCAAAAGAGTGTATTTATATGAGAAAAAAAACACTGGTTACAATTGCTCCGAGAGGCAAACAGGTCTCAAGAATATCTTTCTGTCCACCTTATTAAAGGTTTTATTTTTTCTTGCAATTTCATTTAGTTCTAAATCAAGAAGGAAGATCGAATTCCCTTTACAGGTGCTCTCTACACATTGCTTGTACAGGGAATCAATACATCTTCTGTGCTCTGGTCTTTGAAGCTGGTATTTAAGGAAATTGTTTAAACAGCATTACTGATATCTTCCACTTGCAGTTGCAAATAACGTAATATTTGGTTAATTTACAATATGGTCCAGTTATTTATTTATTTATTTAATTTGCATTATTTAATCCATATGTCTACAGTTTTTTTTAAATACATCTAGAAAAAGGTAAAATATACAGTAAAATATAGTTTCCCATCATTACTCACAAAAATATTTCTTATTGATCTCATATGCTAAGATGGTATAGATGTAAGTAAGTTATTTAACTTAGATTGTTAGCACAAAAGTAGAAAATATAAGTTGAAAATTAACAAGCCTCAAGTGAGGTGTAAGGTTAGAAAGATTTGGTAAACAGATGTATTGAGGGCATGAGAGGTGGAGTGATTTAGAATTTTTTGTCTACTTTGGGACCTGTCCAATGGATGTAAATGTCTTTTGCAGTCTCGTGTATTCCTCTGTTATTGCTACGTTCATTTATACCTTCAAAAATTAACTGCAAAATGTCTGTTTGGGAATAGTATTGCAGGCTATCGATATAGGTTCAAATGGAAATGAACAAATACTTCCTTGCAATCCCTTCTCTGATGGCACTGATGCACAGAGGAATATGTTTGGTATTCTGTGAATATTCAGTGTTTTTTGTTTTAATAAGAAATAACTCTATTTGGAAGTTAACCCTAAATCAACCAATTTGTGTCTCTTTGTACAATAGTCACCTGCAGAATAGAGTCACCGTACATTACAGTAGATCCTGTGAAGCACTTTAAGATATCCTCCCAATGTGAATGATTATTCTACTCTACTTTGATTTGCATCATTCTCGTGTTACTGATCCAATTCAAATCCAATCCAAATTACTTATTAATCAGGATAGACACTGGACATTATCAGTTTACAAATGTGCAGTTTCTTTAAGAATGATAAACCTCATTAGGGAGGTCTGATTCAAATTCACTCGACAAAGGAACTAGTTTGGCAAAAATAGTAGCAGTGCTTTATTAATGTTTGTGATTTTGGTAGCATTCATTCTCACAACTGAAATGTAAACCAGTCTAGTCTATTTATAG